CGAAGATGGTCGGCTTCAGGCAACAATGAAACGGATGAGTTTGCGTGAGAACAGGGATGGACAACTCCAGAGCTCCTAGGAAAATGTTTTCCCCTTTTTTTTTCGGGAAGTCAGTTTCCAAGATTTACCTTTTAATTTTCCTTGACTGGAAAATAGGTTTCTTTGACTTTTTCCAGCATGACCAACCAAACATAGGAAAATGGGAAAACAAACGCAGCCTGAATAACACTTGATTTCCTCTTAAATATTTATCGATGCCCTTGTGTTAGTCTATAAATTGTTTTCTGTTTAATTAGTTCTGATTTTTTCTTTACAGAGGATGATACGAGCATACCTACAGAAGTCAAAGTGCCTATCCTGATAGCTTTTCACCGCCACGTATATGATCCCAACTGGCATTTCTCATGTGAGTCTTGAAATTTTAGTTTTGATTTCCGTAATTCTACAAAATGGAGGCAGTTGATTTGACTATTTTTTTGGTGGAAATTTGGCGTGATAATTTCATCTGTCCACACTTAACATTTCTTCTCTGTGCAAGTAATTTCTTTTACTGTCAAATTAGGGCATCTAGACTACGCCGTTTAAGTTACGATCAGCTCTAATTCTTTTGTTCAATCACTGTGCAGATTATAACACTATTTGTTTATAACCCTATTCAGTTATAAGGGAGCTTTGTAATGCCTGAAAATCTTATGCATTTATGATCTACTATAAAATTTTGTGTTCTGATTTTACCGTTTTTAGTTTGATGACCCGAGTATCCAGTCCATGAGCTTGAACATTTTGTATAAAATTTGTTTTACATCCATCTTTTACAAACTGCTGATTTATGTTGGAAAAAGTCTCTCCTCTTTAAGGAAGCCACAAAAGATTATACATGAGAGAACAAAATTCCATTCCATGGCACTTGTATCTGTAAAAAAAACTTCAACTGAATATTTTTGCTCTCCCTAATTTGATTCTTCTTTTGCATAAGGTGGTACCAAGGACTACAAGGCTCTCATGGACCAGTTCCATGATGTTTCAACTGCTTTTCTGGAGCTTGGAAAAGGGTTAGTTCTACTTCCTTTTGCCTTCTATTTGACCGTGGACCGATTGAGAGTATGATTGATTTAGGATCTATATGGTGTGCTCTACACATCTAAAAAACTCATTGCATCTAATCACTATAGTGTCTGTGTGCCTGTTTATTCTTCAATAGAAGACTTATGGAACTCAATGTATTCTTCAGTTACCAGGAGGCAATTGAGGATATTACCAAGAGAATGGGTGCAGGAATGGCAAAGTTTATCTGCAAGGAGGTTAGTGATGCGGGTTGTTTTAATGCAGCATTGAAGGGTGCGTGGATAAATTACTAAAGGGAAAATGGATTTCTGTAGGTTCCACTGCTGAATTGCTTGATACATGATACAAATGTGCTGTCTGTGTGTTTGCATCTGCCATGATATCAAAAGTATAATAAATATGTAAATGTAAATTGCGGACCGTAGTGAGCTCAAGCTATATGCATCACAAGAATTAGGTGCTTGGTTGGAAAGTAGTCCAGGCAAATTTTATTCGGGTCTTGGATAGAAGATGAATAAATCATCAAGGAAGAAAATAAGGAATGGTGAAATCTAGAGTATTTAGCCGTTGTATTAGAGAGAGCATGGGACACAAGGGATGGCTATGCGATCCTTATGGATGTCAGCTGAAGTAATTATTTGAACTTGATAAAAGATGCTGAAAGAACTATATAAGGCTATAACAGTTTCCTCATTATTTATTTTAATCATAAAATTGCACAATCTTCAATTTCTGCAGTTTTCTTAATACAGAAGGTCAAATGTTATGTTTATGTGATGCTGTTAGACTTTCTCATCTGCAGGTGGAGACCATTGACGACTATGATGAATATTGCCACTATGTAGCAGGACTTGTTTGACTGGGCCTTCCCAAGCTTTTCCATGCCTCTGGATCAGAAGATTTGGCATCAAATAGCCTCTCCAATTCGACGGGTTTGTTTCTTCAGGTATTACTATGATGCAAGAGCCATCGATGTGTTTTATCTGCAGGCCTAACTTTGTTTTGAAGTATAATTCTGACATTTATGTCCTGGATTTGATAAAACACAGCAAACAAACATTATTCGTGATTATCTGGAGGACATAAATGAGATTCCTAAGTCACACATGTTTTGGCCTCGCGAGATTTGGAGTAAATATGTTAACAAACTTGAGGTTTCTTCTTTTTCCACATCCCTCATTATGTTAGTGAATGATGAAAAATACGAGAACAATACTTGAAATGTAATAGTGTTATTTTTGGCTTCATCCATCTGATTAGCATTCTCCCCATTTTGTGGTTTGTGCCTCAGGACTTGAAATATGAAGAGAACTCAGTGAAGGCAGTGCAGTGCTTGAATGACATGGTTACTGATGCCTTGATACATACGGATGATTGCTTGAAATACATGTCTGCATTGCGGGATCCTGCTATACTTAGGTTTTGTGCTATCCCTCAGGTAAGAAATACACTTAAACTAACCTTTGAAGATATCATTGTTTTATGTCTTGTAGTTTGTCTAATTGAATTATTCTTATGCCTTTTCACTTGGTCTGTGATTCTTCTGAATGTTTCATCTGATCATATATTTTATTCATTAATGAACAAAACTCACGATATTTTTTTAATCTAGTTGTGTAGTTTTATGTCTAGTAATATTTATGATGGATGCTCTGGTGGAAGCTTTCTTCTAATTTGACTTCTCTCTTGCTAGATCATGGCAATTGGAACCCTAGCAGTGTGCTACCACAACATCAATGTCTTCAGAGGTGTAGTGAAGATGAGGCGAGGTAATATTAATTTATAGACTTCATTCTTTTCTTGGCATCTGAAACCGGTGTTGTGTTATAGTTGTAACAGAAATTATTTTGGGGCATGTAAACATCTCATGAAGACTGGATGATTTTTGTTGTTGTTATGTTATCATAATGTAGAACTGCATCTAGAATGCAAATGCAATAAATGATATCATCTCTCTTTAGAATACTAGAAGGTTATTCCCAAATGAACCATTCCACAAATACCATTTGTTTGTTTGGGAACGGAATAATTCTCAGACTAAGTAATCATGCCCCAGCTTGTATATCTCAGGTTATTTTTAAAAATTCCACTCCCCATCGACCAGATCACCCCGATGCTCTTTATTGTATAAAGATTCTGGTTTGTCAATTATTGCATACATCAAAAGAAAAAGGACTGGGTTTTCATGATTCCTTATTCAATGACGTTTAACTTAATGTTAAACCTATTTCTAGGTCTTACCGCTCAAGTTATTCATCGAACGAAAACAATGGCTGATGTCTATGGTGCTTTCTTTGACTTCTCTTGTATGCTGAAGTCCAAGGTATGATGCTTCCCTTAATTCTAACAAGATATTGCTTTTTTCTGGCAAGTTCAAGTATGAAAATTATATTTCTCCCACTTGTAACCAATGCCAAACCCTATAATGCTTCAGTGTTTCTTGCCAGTTTGTTTAGGACTTGTTCATCTTCTTGAACCTAAGAAGATCCACACCAAATAGACTTTCTAGACAATAATTTCATAGAAGGGAGCAATATTCTTTATGTTTTTTAATCCTTGACAATAAGAAGCCTATTGCTCGGTCAAACCATCCCTTATAAGAATGAAAATATATGCTTCCATCAAGCCCCTGGTTGATGGATGAGCAAATGATAGTAGGTTGCCATATCGTTTGCTTCTTGGTTGTAGCCTTTGAGATAGTGTATGAATTAACTATGTAACATTTTAATAACAACAATTAACAACTGTGGCAGCCTTGTCAGATTCTGAAAATGGAAGTTTATGTATAAAGCTGCAAGCTTTTTCACTAGGATTCCAGTGAATGTTTGGTGTAGTTGATTTTAATCCACAAGTTGGTTTACTAATTTTCTAGGTGCTTGTATTGAGAAAATGTGCAATTTGGCTACTGCAGGTTGACAAGAATGATCCTAATGCAACAAAGACATTGAGCAGGCTGGAAGCAGTACAAAAAACTTGCAGGGAATCTGGGGCTCTAAACAAAAGGTCTGTCAAGCTATCCTATGAACCTTGAATTGGTTTTTTGTTATTTTATTTGGCTGACATGCTTTCTTGCTTCTATCAGGAAATCTTACATAATTAGTAATGGGCCAAAGCACAATTCTATTCTGGTGAGTTCCTACTATTGCCAACCAGATTTCCTCTCGTGTAGCCTCGTTGCAACTTTGCTGTTCAAAGAGATTTATTTGTTTCCATTTACATGCTCTACATGCTCATAAATTTGAGCACAAACTATAGAACTTGCTAGATTGCATTTCTTTTTATCCTATGTTTTCTGCGAACCATATGCTTTCTTTGAATTGAATTAGATCAATAAAAGAATGAGATTACTTTTTTTTTAATTCCATCCTCTTCGATCTAACTTATTAGTCTACAGTTGAATGCCTATATGCATCTTGTATGCTTGGTGGGTTGTTCCATGAATATCATCTGACTTATTTTATCATCTAATGCAGATCGTCCTACTTTTCATTATATTGTCTGTTATTTTTGCATATCTCTCTGCCAACCGATTGAGTTACTAGGGTAAGCTGTGCCAGAAAACAAAGTTCTTGATTTGATTTGTTATCAGGAGAATGATTTTCTAAAAACCTCTTTTTTCAATGCTCAGGATGGGCGATTTCTTGAAATTTCCCCATGTGCATATGGATGATGGCTCGCTACACAAGTGCCTGCACTATTCCATGGAAGCTACTTTTCTTATATTTGTGTACAACATTGCAATGGCTACACTTTATCTCAGTGTGCATCGAATACTAAAATGTTACTGCTGTTCCAATAACTATCAATCTCGTCGTAGTAACTTATAATGTATTTTTGTAGTCTTTGTCAGCCATTCAGGACTGTCGAGCATAGAAATAAGGTCCTATTTGGTTGTTATCGTAGAGTTGTTTTGTGGATAAGTTTTTCCAAGTGAAATGCCAGCTGATGACCTTCTGGTGAGCAATAATGTCCACCCTGGGTGGCTCTCTTCTCTCTCTCTTCCTGTCTACTCATCCTCTGGGGAAGAGGGACTGATCTCTGATCTGTCCTTATTTGGGGCAAATCGGTTGAGTCTCCTTTTGTCGAGATTTTCTTTTCACAAATCCCCCGTGGGTATTTGCTGCTGGCTTTGAAATAAAGAGGATCTAATGCTGACTAGTGATTTTGAGTGGGTTGGTCTGTTTTTATGTTAGGGTCGATGTTGGGATAGGTCCGACCGTCTTTGGGTTTGTTTGGAGTTGAGCTCTTGCAGCTCAAGCAAATAATTGATGAAATACCAAGTATATATATGAAAGCGGTAGTGAATAACAAACTGATAATATTAGATCAATTCTCTGAATGAACTAAAAGATACGGTAACAACTAACAAGAATCGTGAATCTAAAATTGAAGAAAACGATCGTGAAGTCACATGTATATAGTAATAATCATAAACGATATAATTCTGTATGAAACTTGCATAAGGAATCTTCAGTTGGATCTTTTGGATCCGGACATGGAATGATCTGCAAAAAAAAAAAAAAACATTATTGTTTAATACAAACAAAGGTTGGTGATTAACATAAACTACAATCGAGAGAAATTTGTAGAACAGCCTACCGCGTGAAGTGAAATTATAATGGGTATAATTGCTACCAAAGCTTCTATGAAGTTTCCATTAGTTATGGCAAGAATTTCAACAAACACAAGGAGACTTTGAAAGATTATAGAGTTCATGACGGCCAAAGCATCTTCAAAGCTTCCTGCGAGTCTGACTGCTGATATCGCTACACAAGACAAACCAGAAAAAGGGATAGAAACGTAATAATTCCCTTCCCTTTAAACACATAAAGAGCTATGACCTGAACTAAGCAAATAATTCTATCATATCGTTGGCTTGTTTTCGATATTAATAATAAGGAACTGTTAGACGACAAAAAAAACGCAGGGGATATAATTAAAATGGTGAGAAGAACCATTGTCAGAATAAATTTTACAGCTCCCCAATATGGATCGGTAAAAACAGGAGTCATACAAGGGTCGGTAAAAACAGGAATCATAGCAGCGATCAGCGGCTTATACAACATGTAAAACCCAACAAAGGCTGTTAAATTGAGTAAACATATCAGAATAACTCTCTTTAATTCTTCTATGGTGGATAGCTCCATGATTTATCTATTGCTTCTCTGTAAGCGGGTTTGGATTATTTTGAAGGGTTATCGTAAGCTAAGCTAAGGTGATTTGCTATACCTTGGCCCCATTATACATAGGTTGGTAAATCATGGAAAACTTAGAATACGTAGTTAATTAGATTAAAACAAAGTATCAGAGTAGGTATTATTCCTACTTGAAAATGGCAATTGGACATGCTCTGAAAAGATCAAAACAAAGTCCCACCGCAGCCAAAACAAAATAAAAAATAAAAAATACTCCATCTGAGCTGATAAGATCAAAGCAGTGGCCCAAGGTACGATGCTTTCTTTAATTCTAAGCAAGATATGTTTGCCTAGCAATTTTGAGTCCTATCCAACTTCTAGTGTTAGTTACAAGATAGAACTTGTTCTTTGCCAGTCCTTTCCTTGGACTTGTTGATGTCCTTACATACTCAGGAATGGTCCAAAACATAATTTCATGTTGAGAAAAAAAAAGTGTGATGGGCTTCTTTTTGTTCTGTATACATATGTTTTAAGGAACATCATGCTATGCCGTTTTGAACTTTTGAAGTCTGTGCACTGGCCTCGAAATCTAGACCTATGCCCCTAATGCTACTGAGTAAGTTAATTACGTGCTGGTCTCGCTTGATTTTGGCAAATTAATTTTTGTTTTAAAAATTTTAACTTAAAGAGAATTATAAACATTTTTGGATAGAAATCATTTTTGGCTCTAATTAAGATGTTATTATAAAATTGAATCAAAATTTTATTTTAATTAAAAGTTAAGATTTTTAATTTTTCACTTAATGATTCTATTGATTGATAATAAAATTCAAGTTTCAGTAATCGTAATATCCTTGATAATAATAAAATAATAAAAAAGAGTTATCTCTGGTGTTATTGTTTGAGGTTTGATAATCATAAAAAACACATACTCACACACACACACACATATATAGACAAAATGATAGATAAAAAAATAAGAACAGATTGAAGGTTACAATTCACTGATTTTATTATTATTATTATTATTATATAAAAAATATGATTGATAAATGGTGTATTATATAAAGGTATATTGATAAGTTTTTCCTTTAAGTTATGAATTTAAATTTATACTACTTTTCTCAAGCAAAAAACGATGCTTTTAAGTCAACTTCTACTAAATATATTTATAGTTCAACTCAACGTTTTTTTTTTCTTTCTAAACACTCAATGTTTTTTTTTAAATTTCCATCCGTTTACTGTTCACATGAACAGTAAATGGCTGGCCCCCTCCTTTTTTTTTCCCTAAACATTAAATTTTTTTTTTTAATTTTCGTTTCTTAATAATGTTGGGTGTTAAAATTTTTAAAAAACCAACAATTTATTTCCAAAATTTAAAATATCTAATTTTTCTTTTGGTGTGACCATTTTTTTATTTTCATTTCTGAAAAGTGAACGGTTTTTTTTTTTTTTTCGTTTCGAATAATGTTGGGTGTTAAAATTTTAAAGGAACCAACAATTAATTGGGTGCTAAAATTTTAAAGGAACCAACAATTTATTTCCTTATTATTTATTTCTAAAGTTTAAAATATCTAATTTGAAAAAATATTTTTTTTTCAAAAAATAATTATGTATATAAGCACATACTATCATGTAACATAATTTATTAATTAACAATTACATAAGATGTATTTCTCAAAAATAAAAAACATATATTATAATAAAGAATTATATTACTCATAGTTTGTCATTTATTACTATTTTCATTAATTTTTCATTTCTTTTAAATTCTCATCCAATTAATTTAAAATTATATTTACTCATAGTTTTGATTTATTTTAATATTATTCATCCAATTAATAAAAATTAAATTCATATTTTTTCAAAAATCGATATTCTCATCAACATGAAATAAAAAATAAAATATTTGTTCAATTATATATAAGCTCTTAATAATTGTTTTTTTTTTTCGACACAATCTTATAAAATATTAAAGCTTGTTTTAAAAAATTATTTAATTTTTTTTATTTAATAATCCATGGATTAACAAGGATAAATCCTTTTTGTAAAGAAAAAAATATGAAAAACACAAATAAGAAATAGTTAAATACAAAATTTTTTATTAAAAAATTATAATTACTTTTTTACCTTTGATTCATATTGTTATAGATTCATACCATAAAACAGATTATTAAACTGAAAAAAAAATTAAATGATTTTATATATTTTATACGATGCGAGTCAAAATCTAGTAAATCTTAAAATCCCAACAAAAGAGGTATCGTTGCAACCTATAGGAGGAGGGCGTCTCCAATACGGACATTTTTATGATCCCACAACCTAATCTTTTCTTTATTTTAACTAATTGACTGGCGATCAATGAGCTTAATTTTGATCCGATTGATATGATGTGCTCTAATTTAGTTTCGGGATTTGTGTTTTTATATAATCTTAGTTTTTTCTTTCTCTTTTAATTCATGATGGATGTATATCTCTCGGAGAAGGTTTTTAATTTGTTTGCTTTAATATTTTTATATTTTTTTAGAAGTTCATATAAAATGTTATATGTGTTTTTTGAGAAGTTGATATAAAATGTTGTATGAGTTCTTTTGAGGAGTTCATATAAAATGATATATCTCTTAGAGAAAATTTTTAATTTGTTTGTTTTAATATTTTTATATTTTTTTTAGAAGTTCATATAAATGTTATGTGTATTTTTTGAGAAGTTCATATAAAATGTTATATGAGTTCTTTTGAGGAGTTCATATAAAATGCTATGTGTTTTTGTGTTTATGTATTAGTATATATTTGTTTGCAAACATACTATATATGTTCGATGTATTTCCCTTTAAACAATTGTTATAACATATGTGTATTGAGTTTAGACCGCGTATGATAACTCATATGAAGACAACCCAAACATAGAGTGTCATGAATAAAATAATAACATTCATTCATTAAGATAAGATGGTTTATAAATTTTGCCATTATTACGTGTTCCATAACATGATCGAAATAAGGATACAAGAGGCTGGACCATAGTAGGCAGATCATGACTTAAGTGGGTTGATCTGATATATTCAGTGTTCACGTATTCATTTATCACCGAGTAAAAAGGTTGTGCCAATAAAGAAAATTAGTCATGCTGATAGCATTTCTCTTAATAATTTTGAAGGCGTCCAATGAGGCGACATGGAATTATCTCCATATGTGAAAAACGAAAATTCAGTTTGGAAATTTAGGTCGAAAATATTAAGAGATAGCAATATTAATTCAATGTCTTTTATTTTTCTCAGAAAGATATAGATGGTAGATTGCCTAATTGATCTTCGTGTTGTTAGCGGTAGTAATTAGCAATAATTGATTGATTGATATACAACTAGCCTATTAATTAATGGGTTTTTGCAACAATTTAAAAAGTGCATGGACTAAATTATTATTTTTTTATTTCACTTTTGACGGTGTTATTTTTTTTATAAGAAAATATCATACTAAATGCACCAAATGTGTCCTATATGAAACCCCATCATAATAAAATGAAAAGGCATTTTTTAATAAAGTTGTTATAATAAGTTAAAAATAATAAAATAATATGTAAAAAAACCTAATATTTTATTATTAAAATAAAAATATGATGATGCACAATATCAATTAGCCATAGGCTCCTAGTTAATGGTCTAATCCTCCACAAAAAGTAAAAAAATTTATTTAATCAATTCAAAGTAAAAAAAAAGGTTGCTCAGTCAAAAAATTAAGAATTGCTCCATGTTTTTTTAATATAGATCATTAACTATAAGTCTGCACTATTGTTGTTTTATTTTAATTTTGACAAAATATTTATATATTTTTTTCTAATTGCATGTTAGGTTTTTTTTTATGCATTTTATTATTTAAAATCAATATATATATATATATATATATATATTTTAAAAATACTCTTTGTCGTTTTATTGTGATAATGTCTCACATATGATACGTTTTCAAGTATTCAAGATAATGTTTGAAAACAAAAATAATAACATGATTTTTTTGTAAAGGAATAATTTGATCTCTATGCTATTTGAATTGTTTAATTTGACTCTACTCTATATTTGCTTTGTTGTCATTCTTTCGTTATCATATCATTAGTTTGTGAGAAGATGTTATATTACACTTATGAATGTGCTTTTTATTTTTTATTTTTATTATGCATTTGGTCTAGTTTATAAAGTACGACACGTTACATTCTTAAATGTATTACACATGTCATACATAGCATCTCAATAGAAAAATTCAATAAAGATGAAAAAGAATACAAATTTTTAATGAAAACAATTCAAAATGTACATGTACCATATTGAGCAAAATCCATTAATTAACAAATCGCCTTAAATTCTTGTTTTAAACCAAAACCTTGGGAGCTGTGGTGTTCTATGTTCCAATCATTATCTTGGTTGCCATCTTCAGAACCTTTTTGTTACAAAGGGGATGTCGATGGTTCATCGATCGGTAAGCCCAATAAATCCGGTGTCGATGGAGTTCCTGGCAACAGAGAAGGGCGAGTAGATGTAGGACATGGTAGAGATTGAAGGAAAGGAAGGAGATACAAAATGGGGTAAAATACGTAGATTTCATGCACCAAGAATAGGGGTTGTTTTTCAATCACTGTTTTTGGTGGATATATCTTTCCCTGGTTCTTAATTTTGGAAATTTTTTATTTACTGTGAGTGCCTTCATCTTTGGTTATGTGTCCTGTCCATAGGGAGTTAGCAGCAAGCTCGAAGTCTACTTGGATTGTCCTATGTATTTGTTGTTTATTTGCTCCACTCTTAATTTTATATATATATATATATATTGAAGAAGGAGATCAAAGCAAATTTATCACAGTTATAAGGAAGGGTGGTAACAAAATATAATGAAAAAAAAATCAATTAATACCAAAAAATATAATTTCAATAAAAACAATTCAAAAAGTACATACACCCGTATATGAGCAAAATCCTACTCAAAACTTGAACCGTTTATACTTATTACCATCCATATTTAATATTAATAGCAACATCCCATAATTTTTATTTTTCAAATCTTAGGATATTTCACGTTTAAAAGCTTAGATTAATTCTTTATTGTTCGACGGACGCACAAAACAAGAGCAACTATTTAAGAACATTTCTGCATACACAAAGACTCAAATCTTTCATCATTTATTTAAATGATTAAAACTATTTTTGTTCAAACTAACCTCCTTAGATAGCTGTCCACAATTCTAATTTAGTAGAAAAATAACCTAAATTGGCTTTGAAAGTACAATCTCTAATCAAACGATTACTATTATTTTTACAGGTAACAACAACAATTATATTTCTCAAAATAAAAAAAAATGATTATAAAAATATAGGAAAAATCATGTGGATTAATTGATTAGTTAATTTGTGACCGATAGAGATTAACCTTCCGAAAGTAACGAGTGAATAAATTGGAGTCCACGATTATATTTATATTTTTTTTATAGTAAAAAATAAAAATATATTATGGACCTACATCCGATTAATGTCAATAGAAACCCCCCTAATTTCTTTAGTTTTGTAAACTCGAAAAAAATCTCTGTTTGGGCTTGACACCCCCAATCCCCATATCGGGCTTTCTAAGATTTAAGTAAGTAATTGTCAGAAAAGTTTACCAAAAGTCACAGTAGCCAAGACATATTTTTTGTTATAATAAGATTATAATTACCATTTCCAATTAAGACTCAAGAGTCAAGACTGATCCTAAAGCAACAAAGACATTGATTAGAATGGCAGTGATGCAATAACATTGATTAGGGAATCTGATTTTCTAAACAAAAGGTTGTCAATGTGACCTTGGAAAATTGGATGTAGTTTTAATTTTAAACTTGTTTTTTTTTATTGAATAGAATCATAAACTTTAATAATGAATTAAAAGATGAGAATTGCAACAGGAACAAGGCAGTACACCATTAAGAAAACGGTAATAGTCTCATAATTGTTGAGAGAACATTTTTACTGGAAAATCATTGTTTCATTTGTCCAAGATGATTGATTTCTTCAACCTCCCCAATTTATGGACGATGATGGCTGGCTATAGTATGTGCCTTGTTCTACAGAAGTGATTCTTTTTGTCTTTAAAAATACCGTAATGGCTGCTATTGAATGATCTGTTTAGTGAATATAATGCAAAATTCTATAATTATACAGTTCCTTAGCTTTCAATCCAATTAGTTAAGGGACTCAACCGGTTACTCGTGAGCTGGATCATAAACTCATAAATAAGGCCCTCAGCCTTTGCTTGTTCTAGTATAAATGATGGGGATGGTGTAATAATACCAAGGGGAGATTAGATGCAAATTGAAATAAAACCATCGGTTGTTGATGTTAGGGAAAAGAAGAAGAAGAAGAAGCTATTTAGACTTTCGAGATGTTGTTCGGTTAACTAATTATTAAGTGGATTTGCTTTTTTAGGTTGTTATCTTGGTTTCAAAAAGAGTTGCCAAAAATAATCTTTCTCATGAATGTATTAATCTACAGCTAATCAGTGTTTTTTTTTATTAAGTTTTTTTTTTTTGGCTTGATTAAAGACATGATATTGACACTAGAACTATAAGTTTTATCATAAAAATTTCTCAAGATCTGACTTGACATTTGAACCTCACACGGAACATCTTTTCTTAACCATTCAACTAGTCACTAAAAAAATTGAATATAGAGTAAGTGGTCAAAGAAGTAAGGATTGAAAAAAGAGCATATGTATCATTTCCCTATAAATTAAAGTTTATTCATCAACGGCCCATAAATCCACAACCCAATATCCGCCTAGCCGGCCTGAAAACAGCATGAACTCCTTCATTTGGTTCCATGTATCCTTCTTACCCAAATCCTCTCTTCTTGACTTACCAACTTCCACTATTTTCTCTTATTCTTTAATTAGACACTGAAACCAGACCAATGTTACCATATTTTCAATGAAATATCAAATTTATCATTAACAATTTCTTGACTAGAGCCGATGCAAGAAATTATGAACGGTTGGTGATGGTTTTTTAAAGGTGAAAAAGTGGAGTGAAATTGATGTGAAAGTAGAGAGGAAGGTTTTGAGTTCTTCGAGAGAAGTGAAGGGTGAGAGATATTTTTGTGCGTAGGGTATTAGAGAGCAATATGAGACGAGAGCGATAGGGTTTTACTTTCCTTTCTTTTGTGAGAAATTGAGTAGAAAATCGTGAAGTAGTGACCATGGAGATGGAGAAGAGCAGAGTTGAAGCAGAGAGAGTGGGGAACCAAACTGCAAGAGCTTAACGAAACAATGGACACCAATTTTCAACACCGTTGGATGCATGGGACCTACTCTGTTAAACACATCCAACGGCTTTTGTTCTATTTCGTGTGGCAACGTTCTTTAATTTAGAAGGTTTGCCTTATATACGTTACGATTAAATATTTAAAATTTAAATAGCTTGAGCCATGCGGAGATTTGGTGGCTTGAGTTTGGCTTCTCGTTTGAAGGATTCTAGCCGTTGATTTGCATCGCTTTTGCTTTGCCAAGAGGTTTTCTGTATACATATTTTCTTTATTTTCCCTATAAAGCAATACCAATCACAAATTTATAATAGTATTTTAACGTTTTTCAATTAAATTAAGTTTAAAAGGTATCAAAATTTGTTTCTCTTGTTCTATTTATCACTGAGGTATAAAAAGATAAATATAAATTTTTATAATATTGATCTTGATAAAAATAATCTGATGAAGTTATGTAATTTAAATATATAATATGAATTTTTTGTTTTATTTGATTTTAAATAGTTTTATTTCAAACAGAATTGTAAGTTTAACTCAAACATTTCTTTACAGCATTGGTAGAGTTTATATTTTTATAAAGTTAACAAGCCATTTGTAAAAGATATTATTTCTACCATTCTATAATAATAATTCAATGGACATAATAAAAATTATGATGTATCTGTTAAATTGAATATTACTAATAGTTTTTAAGTTTTTGTATTTTTTAAAATTTTCTATAAATTATTCATAATGTTTTTTACTTTTAAAAATAAAATAAATTTATAATTATTATACACGTGAAACATGTATTAAAAACTATAACCGAATATCATATAAACATGTAAAATTTCAATAATAAAGTTATAGGACGTTGGAATTTGAAATTCTTCTATATGTAAAAAAATATTGTTTTTGTTTTTTTTTAATTACATAAAAAAAAAGACTCGAACACCAATTTTTTTTAGCAAAAAGAAAAAGAAACTAATTCTAATTGAATTACAGTTTATTGACTCATAAAGGCATTGTTTAAAAAAAAAAAAACACTAATATCAGTAGGCTTTATCTACAAAAGAACGTTTTAATAAATAAATAAATAATTCTAATATCGAGTCATTGGCTAGTAAGAGATAGGGGTGAGCAAACGGTTAAACGGTTCGGTTTTGTACGATTCGGTTCGGTTTTCGGTTAACCGAATCAAGGAAAATAAAAATAAAAACCGAACCAAAACAAATTCGGTAAATTCGGTTTGTAACCAAATTATTTCGGTTCGGTTTCAAAATATTTCGGTTTTAACCGAAATGTTTTACCGAAAAAAAAATTCTAGACCATTGTTTCATTATCCGTCCTAAGCCACCATCATTTTCACCATTTATTATTAAAAAAAAAAAAGACAATAAGAAAACAAAGCCCTTATATAGGAAATATCTTTTGCAGCCTACCTAATCACAATAAGAAAACAAAGCTCTTACATAGGAAATATATTTTGTAGCTACCTAATCACAGTTGACACACTCGAATATCCTAAATGAGAGAAGAAAAAAATATAGTTGTCTTCCTTCTTTTGCTTATTCCGAACTCATCAAGCACCGACAACATCCTAATTCTTAATTTGACCTCTATGATCTCCTTGCTTATCTTGCTAAAAAGCCATTGGGAATGAACCGCAGGAAACAAAATTTTAGACCGAATTAGTCACCGTTGAAGATTATAATTTTCCAACATCAATCACTATCATAATAAGATATATAAAGCAAGGTAAATGTTACCAATATGTATAACATCCCTAATAATTTTACAATCATCATTCCTAATAAAAAATGTAGTCTAAAAGATTTTCATTAGCAATTTTGTGCAAGTAGAAAAAAAATTAAAACAGACTTTCTTTCGGCTTGTAAAATTCAAGCTCACGGAGACTTAAAACCATCTTGCAATAGTAAGTTAATTTCATTTGATTGTCTTGCAAAGAAACAACTAAACTTGTAAAAGACAATTGATTGCGGTTAGTCATCAACTTTATTTAATTTTTTCAATTGATAGTTAACCAAATTAAGAATCTTAGAATTCATGAATGCCTCCTCCGACTGATGAAGTGATGATAAAGGAGAATCGGAGAAGATGGAGTGAAGGATAGGGAGTTAGGGAGGCGCCGCTAAAAATTGATTTTGATTTAGTGAAGTTAGCCAATTAGGGTTAAAAAAAAAAAAATTTTTTTTTTTTTTTGCTTTTAATTTTTTCGGTTTTCGGTGAAAACCGAATTTTTTTTCAAAAACCGAACCGAACCGAAATAATTTCGGTTTTTCGGTTCGGTTTTTAATTTTGTAAATTTAAGTTTAAAACCGAACCAAAATACATAATTCGGTTCGGTTTGATTCGATTTTCGGTTAATCGAACCATTTGCTCACCCCTAGTAAAAGACATTGTTTCCTAAAAACAAGTTTATACATATAAACTGTGAGAATATGAAAAGTTAAATCGCTGCCACTTGGCAGATGGAAATTGGCAAATTTTTTAGTGGGGGGGAGGGGGGGGGGGGGAGCCAAGAGCTCTCGGCTTGGCTAACTAACCGTCAGAAATCAAAACTTTTCCCTCTCCCAAACTCCAACTGCTAACTTTCTCTCACCATATCTATCTACAAATTTGTTGGACCACCATCCTTCGAGCACATGACCACCAGATATTCAAGTGAGCTCCTACGAACCAGTCAGATGATAGATGAAACTACTAAAAGAATGCTAAAATACAAGATCCACTTGCTATTTAATTTTAATTTGTTGAGAAATTATTAGTAACATCCATACTTTCTATTCTCATATAAAAATAAAATTTACGATGAAAGTTATCTATGAAACCCATATTCATATAAGAGAGTAAAGAAAAAAAAAGTATATATATATATATATATAAAAGAGAGCAACCCATTTTCTATGAGAGGGGAATACAACTCTATTCCAAATATGCAGAATAATTTTCTCATGTTCTTTTATTGTCAGAATTTTTATTCTGTTTTTATATGATAATAATTTATAGATTTGAATTTAAAATTTATGTATAAAAATTCTAAATCTTAACACTTGAGCTCAAATCCTCCCTGTTAGCACACTTGCTTTTTGAGTGAAAATTCTTTAATCATTGGGATTTGGGTTATTCTGGATATCTTGCTACTTCATGTCCTTAATTAACCTTTTGTTTTTCTTTTTCACTAAATCAGAAAAGTCACTTTATGAGTGACCACGTATGTCTCTGTATAAAAATAAGGTTAACCACAACCAGGATTCAAGCGAATTTCTTTTTCCTTTGGTTATTGTGTTGTGTATCATCTTTGATTCAATCAGACTGCCTTGTCTTCATTAGCCACCAATTATTAATAATACACAAATCACGATCTGCTTGTCAATTTTTCCATTATCTTGACATCTTGCATTAGGGAAAAAAAAAGACTATTGAGAAAAAAGACAAAAAAATTGAATTGCACGAGTATCAGGAGCAGCCAACAACGGTCTTCTTAATGCACCATATTAACAAATTGGTTTCAATCGAAGCTGCTGGTTTATTTATTGGTAAAATTGCTTTATGTTTTTTTTTTTTATTGCAGAATAAGTTGTTATTGTTTTTAATAATCCGAAATTAAATATCATTCGAAGATATTTGATCAAGAACTATTTGTTATCATATTATTTCCAAGTCTAATGTAAAATTAGACAAGAATGACTCGGAGGTTGGTGTCTAATGTGAATACTATTCATTTCAATCGAAAAATCAAACTGAAATTTACATTTTAATTTAGTTTTTCTTTCAATTTTTTTATAAAAAAACGAACCGAATTATTTTCAATTCTTTTGTTTGGCTTAAACTTTTTATTTTTATTTTTTTAAGTTTTAAAATAATACAAATAAACAAAAAAAAATCATTAGCTTGGCATTATTATAGATGTATGATGAATTGAAAGTGTTTTTAGATTATTTACATTATTTTAAAAAATTCAGAAAAAAAAAGGTATGTTTAAGCAAAAAAAACCAAAACCAAAACCAAAAACAAAATTTTTTATTTTTAAATGAAAAATATAATGGTAATTCAGTTTTTGTGGATGCCTGCTTAAAGCTCTCAAATAAATAAAGCATGACCTCGTTATTATCATTATTATTAAAAATTAAAAATAAATAAAGCATGACCTTGTTATTATCATTATTATTCTTATTTTTAATTAAAATTTCCTCTAAATCTACCATCCAACTATCCAACTATACTTGCCATCCTTTGATCATCCGTGCAACACGTAAATTGTTTCAAGGATCCTTCAAATTTTTAACCAATAATTCTAGTTTTCTCCTTCAGAGACTAGCCAACTAGCACTTGATGATGGGACGTAAGAGGCGGCACAAACATGCGCTAGCGTCCCTGCACGGGCAGCGAGAGAGAGAGCAAGAGTTAAATATACTCTCATCGGCATTTCAAATTGTCAAAAATTATAAAGATACGGACTCTTATTCTTTGTCCTTTATTAACTTCAAGCCCTAGGATCCAAACAGAACCTAAACCTCAGCCTCGTGAGATAAATGGGAAAAGTAATTGAACATTTATTGGCCAGATTCGTGAATTTGGCAGTGGAATTATTCGGGACTTTGGACCACTATGCTGTGTTGTGATCACGTAGTGTGCTGCTGTATGTTGATGCATTGTGAGATTAAAGATATCTTGAAAAGATTACGCTATTTAACTTCAAATTCATCCCGCTATTATGAATTGATGTTTTTCACAAGAAAAAAATATCTTAGATTCAGCAAATTTTGACTGGCTTGTTAATAATTTAGGGTGGTTTTTATTATTCATGGTTTCTATTCTTTGTTTTGGTTTTCGAATTTTTTAAAAACTTATTTTGATTTTTTTTTAAAAAAAATACAGACTAGCAACCAACCAGCTTATAAAAACCACTTTATTTGATTCTGAAAAAAATTGAAAATCGATCTATCAGTTTTTTTTTTTATTGAAAACAACAATAAACAAATACTCTATTTCTATTTTATTTTTTAAAAATTAATGTCAACAACGACTTGCTTTATTAAATAAGATCCCAAACAGTTGTGGGGATACTGCATGATATGATCGGGCAGAGCGTGGGAGCTCTATTGCCGGTCAAAATGCGCATATTTGACGGCGATAAACGAGTGGTTGTACGTGATGTGCTTTGAAATAGTTAAGTGTGTGTAAAGCATTTAAATTCAAAGTTAATTTTTTCTTTTTCTTTTTTTAAAAAGGCTATATAGTATTTATCAATACGGTATAAATACAGTATTATTTTTATACAACAGATATATAAAAAAAATAACAACCATAGTAACTGAATTTACCTGTTTGAAATAAATCCTAACAGTAGCAATAATTAGAACTAACATTTCGAATAACAAATAATCCTTGCATCAATTTAAATAATTTGAATGAAAACTATACTCTCTAAAATTTCAAATTTGAATTATTTTTATAAAAACTTATATCATCATACGCTCTCTAATAAGAAGAGAAACTAAACAAAAATTCAGATCTAAATAGTCCAGATCCGAATCTTTAATAACAAACAAAACCAATCTATAAAAACAAACCCACAAAGATTTGAAAAAAAAAAAAGGAAAAAAACAAATTAAAGGACAGAGAAGAAAAGGAGGTGCCGACTTTGAGACGCTGGTCAGAAAATAACCAACAATAATCCCGAGATAAAGAAGAAACGGGAGCAAAGGGTTTTAGATTTTAGAGAGAGAGAAACACTCTGTAGTTGACATTCTCTCATTTCAAAGTCAAATTTTGAACTTGCAATTCAGCACAATATGGTCGTTTGTGAATTATTTTCTCCCAAGTCAAAATTTCTTCTATAGTACGCGTGTATTGTCCTAATTTTAGGCCGAGTGGTAATATATTAAATCAAACTTGACTTTGTCACTAGCCTAAATGATACGCTAATTGTGTAGATATTAAAAAAAATATCTCTCAAGATCGAGGGACCATTTTGGATACTGGTTCTCCTCTTGTTCAAAAGAAACTGCTACTATTTTCCATTTCAATTTCAAATCACGAATAAAGTTTTACTAAAAAAATTCAGAAATAGAAACCAAAAAATTGGATCCTGCATTTCTCATATCCTCTGCAAGCTGAGCAATGCCTGATTTTTTTTTTTTCAGTAAGCAAATACCTAATCCTCGCCCTGCATCAATTATTATCGGCAAAGCCTATTAATTAAGTAGTGCATTGTCCCCAGATTCATGGTGATGTTCACCAATTCCTAAACTATTGATTTATGGCTTAATTAACGAGGGGAGGGTGAGTGGCTATGAGTTTACTAAATAGGGAGAAAGATTTTCTTTTTGTTTGCAGATCACGCTGATTATTTTCATTGTTCTAAAGTACCGTATTCTATGATTGCTTAAAATTTCTTTCTATGAATAAAAAAATTATTCCATTTGAAAATATAGTAAAAGGGACAGAACCGAAACGATGGTTGTAGATTCGGAAATTTCAATGATTTCATCTTCTTTGCTCTGTTTTGCAAAATAAACTGACGACGTAGATGAAAGCATCTACATCAACGTTTTTGTTTTTTAGTGGAGAAGTTAATAAACGTGACATGCATTTTTTGAAAAATAATTTACAAACAAACTTTTTATGCTAAAATCATATATATATATATATATATATATATATATATATATATATATATATATATATATATATATATAATCTAGTATCAACTAATTAATGATAAAATGTGAATTCAATAATAATAAATTAATGGTTAGTTCTTTTAAAAAAAAAAGGAAAGAAAAAAACAACTACTGCTATCCATGTAAGAATTCTGTTTGTTTGTAAGTTTTTTTTCTTTTTTACACCATCATCATCATAATCATTTTATTAAGATGATTTAATTTCAGTAGAGGTCCATTCATTCGGGTTAAATAGGTCAAATATTTTTTGAATTTTACTTTATTTGAAAATCAGTTTTAAAACTTTTAATTTTGAGTTTGATTTTTTTATTTTTTAGATTTAATCAATTTTATGATTTTCAGCCATCACCCTCTCCATTTAAATAAAAATTCAGTTTTTAGTACTTTGAGTTGAAGTTTTGCACATACTCTGAAAAAAACCTCAAAATTTTTAAAGGTTGGAAAATATATTTGTTTGCTTTTTTAACATTAAAAATATAGAAAACTGAGAAAAATAAAAAATAATCCTTAACTATTTTTTTTAAAGATACAAATAAATCTTACTAAATGATTTTCATCGTAAAAACATTTATGTAATCGTTATTTTTAATTAAAAAAATAAAAGATGAATTGAATATCAAAAAATAATTAAGTTTGAAAAAATCAAACCTAAAATTTAAATTTAAATTTTTAAATAAACTAAAATTCAGTGGAAAAGTAATCTAAATTGTCCTTCATTTTTTAATACATTACAAAAGTTTTCTTCCTCCATTGAATTCTCCTTTTTCCCTCGACCAAATTCTATTTCATATTACTTGAACAGAGTCCGAGATTATTAGAGTAGAGCTAGTTAGCACATCTAATTTTTATATAAAAAAAGAAAAAGAAAAAAACAAGAGTCGTTCATGTCATCTGCAGTATGATTATAGATACATATCCATAATCATGCACCAATCAGACCTGATTAGAAGGAAGAAAGAAAGAGTAATTAATGCAAGAGTAACGGCTTAGATCAATTTCTAGTTTATATATTGCAATTTGTGATAGACGTAAATAAATTCAATAACGATAGTTCTACCTTATTTGAGAAGATTTACTTTACCATGATCTTAAAAACATTTTTTAATGAACATACAGATCATTAGTAACAAAAAAAAAAACTCTAAATATCTTTACCATCACCGAATAAATCATTAGAATAAAACAATAAAAGCAACTTAACCGTTGAACAAGTTACCAATTTCTTCTCAAACTGATTTAAGAGATGACAAATAAGCATCGAAGAAAAAAGAATGAGGTGGCACCCAATTTTTTCGGTATGTACCCATGATAATAAAATAACCAAAGTTAAAGAAACTAGAAAAAAAGACGGGCAAGAAAGCAGAACCATGCCATTCCGTTCTTACTTGATAATAAAATAAGAATTATTTTAAAGAAATCAAATCCCATCATAAAGTCCACCACTCACCAGTTCCTTTCGCAGTCCATTTTATTTTTAGTCAATAAACTCGTACGTTAACCAAAATAGATAAAGGAAGAAAGAAAAAAATTAAAGTATACCTTTAAAAGATACCAACCCGAAGCTATTGTTCCGTGCATGAACTTACTTGAAATTTTTAGGATTGCCTACAAATTAGTTCGTATCTTTTGGGTTAATTGCAAATCAGTTTCTAAAGTTTGAAATCTTATAATTTTACAATCTAATAAATTCTTTCAACTGGAGCTCTCTTTTACACTTTGTTTGATAAGCTTTGATGAAAGGTGACAAAAATTACTAGAGATGAGCAGGCTTCATACACGTACAATTAATAGCAATTGAGTCATACAAACGCATAAGAAGCAAAAAATTCAAACTCAAGATTTAATTTGTATGTTTTCAACAATGTCATCGGTTTATTGTTTATTAATATTTCAGTAATATTGGTCTTATATTGTGCCGATTAATGAACTCACGATTAATCAGTCTATATATTTTGGATTATTTGTTCAATTTTGATGGCATAACTATGGGATGCAGAGAGTATTGATACCAGATATTTATATATCTATATTAATTGATTTATTAATGTGATGGTCAACATGTTAATCAATGATTATTACAATAATAATCCTATCAACATATTGATACGTCATATTGATATATCCAGTACTAAAAAAATCAGTATATTGATACGATAACTATTACATCAATTGTCTTATTTTGCTGTTGTAGTGCCGCATGACTTTCATAATTGATCATTATTCATCACAAAAATTATAAAAGCCTAATTCATTATAAAGCATCTTGAATTATTAGTAAAAAAAAACATTGTGTCTTTTTTTTTTTTTAATTTAGTTTCCTAACCTTTTTTTAGTTTGCAATTAATTTTTTTATTATGTTGGCTAATTTTAAATGACATAAAAGACACATGAAGCTATTAAAATAATAACATATGTTTCGAAATTCTTAAACATAATACATGTATCGTTGTTTTAAGGCTTTACGTATCTTTCATGTGCGTTTAATCTAGTTTGAATTGATCAACAGAATAAAATAATTTAATTATAGATTAAAAAAAATAAGAACCAAAATCAGAAAAAAAAAAAAGGTTAGAGATTTTTCTTTTGTTGACCAATTGTTCATGGTATTTTATAACCAATTAGTCAATATGAATTTTTTAAAAGCAGGGACCAAGATAACATATATTTGAAACATGCGGACAGTTGACAGCTGCTCTGCGTAGTCACCAAGCTAGACTCGCATGTCCTTTTCCAACGGTAGTTTCCCTTCTGTACTCCAACAACCATTAAAAAGGAAGAAGAAGAAGAAGAAGAAGAAGAAGAAGATAAGTCTATTTTGCAGTCATGAACTGAAGTACTGCGACTTTGTCTTTGCGTGCGTCCGATGAGAGTGAATCTGGCCAAGTATTGAATTAAAAATTCAATTCCCAAAAGCCACCACGTTAGACCAAGCCCACCGCGATTTCCTTCTCTCTCAAATAAATAAATGAAAACCTTTCTCTGCTATTTTGTTAGTAAAAGTCTTACGTGATTTGCACCAGAGTCATTAATAAACATGATTCTATCTCCACCAGTGCTTGTAAAGAACATAGATGTGAAACATGAAACAACAGGTTGGAGTTTAAAAACCTACCTGCAAAGTTCCCTCAAGGCTATGAGTGCAGGGAGTCACAGATAATGCAACAAAGAACAATATCATTAATACTGTGTGCATCTGCGGGGACACATATTGATGAAATACCAAGCAGAATCAATTGCATAAAATATTTGCATGGAACCATTTAGATGCAAGATACTAGAATTATTGATATTATTTTTATTTTCAGTTCTTTTCTTTAGTTTAAACTTTTTTTAATATTTTTTTTTGGGTTTTAAAACGCAAATAAATAAATAAATAAATCATTATCTTGATATTATTACATAAATATGATGAATTGAATGCGTTTTTGGACTACTTATATTGTTTTAAAAATTCAGAAAAAAAGTATGTTTAAATAAAAAAAGCGAAACCAAAAACAAAATTTTTGATTTTTAAATAAAAAAATATAACAGTAATTCAGTTTTTGTGGATGCCTGCTTAAAGTTCTCCAATAAACAGAGCATGATATTGTTATTATCATTAACATTTTTAGTTTTAATTAAATTTTCTCTAAATCTACCATTCAAATATCCAACTATACTTCCCATCCTTTTATCGTCCGTACAGCACTGACATCGTTTCAAGGATCCTTCAAATTTTTAACCAATAATTCTAGTTTTCCCCTTCAAAGACTACCCAACTAGCACTTATTAGCTAGATTCGTGAATTTGGCAGTGGAATCATTCGGGACTTTGGACCACTCTGCTGTGTTGTGATTACGTAGTGTGCTGCTGTATTTTGATGCATTGCGAGGTTAAAAATATCTTGAAAAGATCACGATTTTTGTCTTCGAATTTAGCGTGGTTCTTCTTCTTTGTTTTGGTTTTCATTTTTTTCCAAAACTTAGTTTGATTTTTTTATTAAAAAAAAATACATACTAATAACCAAGCCGCTTATGAAAATCACTTTATTTGATTTTGAAAAAAAATTGAAAATCGATCTATCAATTTTTTTATTTTTTTGAAAACAACAATAAACAAATATTCTTTTTGGAGTAACAATACGGTAACAATAATATTTTATTGTAATTGAATTTATATATTTGAAATAAATTAAAATTGCAAAGTGGTTTTTTATTAAGAACTTTTTAAAATTTAAAATTTGAGTTATTTTTATGAAAACTTATAGCATCACACGTTCTCTAATAAGAAGATAAACTAAACAAAAACTCAGATCTAAATAGTCCAATCTGAATCTACAATAACAAACAAAATCAATCTATTAAAAAAGCACACTAAGATTTGAAAAAAAATAAAGGACAGAGAAGAAAAAAAAGATGAGGACTTTGAGACGCTAGCCAAAAAAATATCCAACAATAATCCCGAGATAAAGAAGAAAAGGGAGGAGAGGGTTTTTGATTTTAGAGAGAGGGAAATGTAGCTGTCATTCTATCAATTTCAAAGTCAAAATTTGAACTTGCAATTCAGCAAAATATCTAGTCTTGCGATAATCGACATGTTCATATGATAACTACCACATCAGCCAGCTTGCATTGCCATTATTGCACCATATACTTCCACAATTGATAGTTCTTCGTGACAAAATTTATGAAAAGCTAATTGATTATGAAGTATTTTAAACTATAAGTGAAAAAGAAATCTCTAATCTTTTTGTTTTTTGATTTATGTTCCTAACATTTTTTTGTCTACAAAATTAAATTCTTTCATCTCATTCATCAATTTTAAATAATAAAAAAAAAAACGTAAAGTTATTAAAATAAGAATGCATGTTCTAAAAACTCTAAAAACAAATCACATGTTATTGTTTAAAGACTTTATGTATCTTTTACATGTGTCAAATCTATTATAAAATTGACCAACTAATGAAAAGATTTAATTATAGATTAATAAAATGATTAGGGATCCAAATAAAAAAAAGATTAGAGATTTTTTTAGTTGACCAATAGTTCATGTAACTTTATAACCAATTAGCTATTCTGAAATTTATAAAATAGGGACGAGGATGGCATATACTTAAAACCCATGGACTTACTTATAGTTAACCTCTATTCATAGTGTGTAGTTTACCAACCAGACTCGCATGTCCTTTTCTAACAATATTCTCCCTTTTAAATAAAAACACCAAAAAAAAAAAAGTCTATTTTTCTGTCTTAAAAAAAGTACTGCTAAACAATAAAAACGATTTTTTGCGAGTCCGAGAGAATAAATCTCCAACTATTGGATTAAAAATTCAATTCCCAAACGCCACCACGCTAGACCAAGCCCACCACGATTTTCCTCTCTCTATAAAAAATAAACAAATAAATAAACGCCTTCCTCTCCTCCCCATAAATATTACCGAAATAAACAGACATTTTCCTCCCTGTCCCCTTCTCCCCCCTCTCTCTCTCTCGCACAAAAGAAGGCAAAGAGAGCTTCCTAAATTCTGGGTGAGATTTCAACGCTCTCATTTCGTGATCTCGGGTTTTGATTTTCTGAAATAATTGAAAATGGGGACTTTGGGAGCGGTATTGAAACACCCAGATGATTTATTCCCATTATTGAAGCTGAAAATGGCTGCTAAACATGCTGAAAAGCAGATCCCACCTGAACCTCATTGGGCTTTCTGTTATTCTATGCTTCAACGGGTCTCTCGTAGTTTTGCTCTCGTTGTTCAACAACTTGGCACGGAACTCCGTAACGCTGTACGTATATATGACATTGCATTACATAACTTTTTTTTTTTTTTTCATGTCGTACTTGCCTTGGTTTGATCTGGTTTTATGTTGTAATTATTTAATAACTAGTTCTTTTCTTGGTCTGCAGGTATGCATATTTTATTTGGTTCTTCGAGCCCTAGACACTGTTGGTTTGTTCTTGTTAACCTTATGCTTTGTGTGTGATTTTTGTTTTTGTTTCTGGCAGAATTTGATTCATCTTAAATGGGTTTTGTAAGATTGGCAATGTTGTGTTTTTGTATTAGGAAGATGTTTGATCTGCTAGTTTTTGAAATGGGGTTTGCTGGATTTTAAAATCGGCCAGAGTTATATTGATTCTGAAGTTGCTAGCTCTAGAAATATTTTTATTCTAATAAATGGCTAGCGGAATTTTTAAGTTAGCTATGAGTTTGCAACCAGATGTCTTGAGGTCATTTTTTGGAAGAAAAAGAGAAATTTGAGAGGAGAAAGCTGTCGGTTTTGCTAAGTAGTTAAAAGTCTACTGCGAGGAGAAGAGCCCTTGAAGCACTCTGTTTGAATAACACTTGATTTCCCCTTAAATACTTATCGATGCCCTTGTGTTAGTCTATAAATTGTTTTCTGTTTAATTAGTTCTGATTTTTTCTTTACAGAGGATGATACGAGCATACCTACAGAAGTCAAAGTGCCTATCCTGATAGCTTTTCACCGCCACGTATATGATCCCAACTGGCATTTCTCATGTGAGTCTTGAAATTTTAGTTTTGATTTCCGTAATTCTACAAAATGGAGGCAGTTGATTTGACTATTTATTTGTTGGAAATTTGGCGTGATAATTTCATCTGCCCACACTTAACATTTCTTCTCTGTGCAAGTAATTTCTTTTACTGTCAAATTAGGGCATCTAGACTATGCCGTTCAAGTTATGATCAGCTCTAATTCTTTTGTTCAATCACTGTGCAGATTATAACACTATTTGTTTATAACCCTATTCAGTTATAAGGGTGCTTTGTAATGCCTGAAAATCTTATGCATTTATGATCTACTATAAAATTTTGTGTTCTGATTTTACCATTTTTAGTTTGATGACCCGAGTATCCAGTCCAAGAGCTTGAACATTTTGTATAAAATTTGTTTTACATCCATCTTTTACAAACTGCTGATTTATGTTGGAAAAAGTCTCTCCTCTTTAAGGAAGCCACAAAAGATTATACATGAGAGAACACAATTCCATGGCACTTGTATCTGTAAAAAAAACGTCAACTGAATATTTTTGCTCTCTCTAATTTGATTCTTCTTTTCCATAAGGTGGTACCAAGGACTACAAGGTTCTCATGGACCAGTTCCATGATGTTTCAACTGCTTTTCTGGAGCTTGGAAAAGGGTTAGTTCTACTTCCTTTTGCCTTCTATTTGACCGTGGAGTGATTGAGGGTATGATTGATTTAGTATCTATATGGTGTGCTCTACACATCTAAAAAACTCATTGCATCTAATCATATAGTGTCTGTGTGCCTGTTTATTCTTCAATAGAAGACTTATGGAACTCAATGTATCTTCAGTTACCAGGAGGCAATTGAGGATATTACCAAGAGAATGGGTGCAGGAATGGCAAAGTTTATCTGCAAGGAGGTTAGTGATGTGGGTTGTTTTAATGCAGCATTGAAGAGTGCGTGGACAAATAACTAAAGGGAAAATGGATTTCTGTAGGTTCCACTGCTGAATTGCTTGATACATGATACAAATGTGCTGTCTGTGTGTTTGCATCTGGCATGATATCAAAAGTATAATAAATATGTAAATGTAAATTGTGGACTGTAGTGAGCTCAAGCTATATGCATCACAAGAATTAGGTGCCTGGTTGGCAAGTAGTCCAGGCAAATTTTATTCGGGTCTTGGATAGAAGATGAATAAATCATCAAGGGAGAAAATAAGGAATGGTGAAATCTAGAGTATTTAGCCGTTGTATTAGAGAGAGCATGGGACACAAGGGATGGCTGTGTGATCCTTATGGATGTCAGCTGAAGTAATTATTTGAACTTGATAAAAGATGCTGAAAGAACTATATAAGGCTATAACAGTTTCCTCATTATTTATTTTAATCATAAAATTGCACAATCTTCAATTTCTGCAGTTTTCTTAATACAGAAGGTCAAATGTTATGTTTATGTGATGCTGTTAGACTTTCTCATCTGCAGGTGGAGACCATTGATGACTATGATGAATATTGCCACTATGTAGCAGGACTTGTTGGACTGGGCCTTTCCAAGCTTTTCCATGCCTCCGGATCAGAAGATTTGGCATCAGATAGCCTCTCCAATTCGATGGGTTTGTTTCTTCAGGTATTACTATGATGCAAGAGCCATCGATGTGTTTTATCTGCACGCCTAACTTTGTTTTGAATTATAATTCTGACATGTATGTCCTGGATTTGATAAAACACAGAAAACAAACATTATTCGTGATTATCTGGAGGACATAAATGAGATACCTAAGTCACGCATGTTTTGGCCTCGCGAGATTTGGAGTAAATATGTTAACAAACTTGAGGTTTCTTCTTTTTCCACATCCCTCATTATGTTAGTGAATGATGAAAAATACGAGAACAATACTTGAAATGTAATAGTGTTATTTTTGGCTTCATCCATCTGATTAGCATTCTCCCCATTTTGTGTTTTCCGCCTCAGGACTTGAAATATGAAGAGAACTCAGTGAAGGCAGTGCAGTGCTTGAATGACATGGTTACTGATGCCTTGATACATACGGATGATTGCTTGAAATACATGTCTGCATTGCGTGATCCTGCTATATTTAGGTTTTGTGCTATCCCTCAGGTAAGAAATACACTTAAACTAACCTTTGAAGATATCATTGTTTTATGTCTTGTAGTTTGTCTAATTGAATTATTCTTATGCCTTTTCACTTGGTCTGTGATTCTTCTGAATGTTTCATCTGATCATATATTTTATTCATTAATGAACAAAACTCACGATATTTTTTTAATCTAGTTGTGTAGTTTTATGTCTAGTAATATTTATGATGGATGCTCTGGTGGAAGCTTTCTTCTAATTTGACTTCTCTCTTGCTAGATCATGGCAATTGGAACCCTAGCAGTGTGCTACCACAACATCAATGTCTTCAGAGGTGTAGTGAAGATGAGGCGAGGTAATATTAATTTATAGACTTCATTCTTTCTTGGCATCTGAAACTGGTGTAGTGTTATAGTTGTAACAAAAGTTATTTTGGGGCATGTAAACATCTCATGAAGACTGGATGGTTTTTGTTGTTGTTATGTTATCATAATATAGAACCGCATCTAGAATGCAAATGCAATAAATGATATCATCTCTCTTTAGAATACTAGAAGGTTATTCCCAAATGAACCATTTCACAAATACCATTTGTTTGTTTGGGAACGGAATAATTCTTAGACTAAGTAATCATGCCCCAGCTTGTATATCTCAGGTTATTTTTAAAAATTCCACTCCCCATCGACCAGATCACCCCGATGCTCTTTATTGTATAAAGATTCTGGTTTGTCAATTATTGCATGCATCAAAAGAAAAAGGACTGGGTTTTCATGATTCCTTATTCAATGATGTTTAACTTAATTTTAAACCTATTTCTAGGTCTTACTGCTCAAGTTATTCATCGAACGAAAACAATGGCTGATGTCTATGGTGCTTTCTTTGACTTCTCTTGTATGCTGAAGTCCAAGGTATGATGCTTCCCTTAATTCTAACAAGATACTGCTTTTTTCTGGCAAGTTCAAGTATGAAAATTATATTTCTCCCACTTGTAACCAATGCCAAACCCTATAATGCTTCAGTTTTTCTTGCCAGTTTGTTTAGGACTTGTTCATCTTCTTGAACCTAAGAAGATCCACACCAAATAGACTTTCTAGACAATAATTTCATAGAAGGGAGCAATATTCGTTATGTTTTTTAATCCTTGGCAATAAGAAGCCTATTGCTCGGTCAAACCACCCCTTATAAGAATGAAAATATATGCTTCCATCAAGCCCCTGGTTGATGGATGAGCAAATGATAGTAGGTTGCCATATCGTTTGCTTCTTGGTTGTAGCCTTTGAGATAGTGTATGAATTAACTATGTGACATTTTAATAACAACAATTAACAACTGTGGCAGCCTTGTCAGATTCTGAAAATGGAAGTTTATGTATAAAGCTGTAAGCTTTTTCACTAGGATTCCAGTGAATGTTTGGTGTAGTTGATTTTAATCCACAAGTTGGTTTACTAATTTTCTAGGTGCTTGTATTGAGAAAATGTGCAATTGGCTACTGCAGGTTGACAAGAATGATCCTAATGCAACAAAAACATTGAGCAGGCTGGAAGCAGTACAAAAAACTTGCAGGGAATCTGGGGCTCTAAACAAAAGGTCTGTCAAGCTATCCTATGAACCTTGAATTGGTTTTTTGTTATTTTATTTGGCTGACATGCTTTCTTGCTTCTATCAGGAAATCTTACATAATTAGTAATGGGCCAAAGCACAATTCTATTGTGGTGAGTTCCTACTATTGCCAACCAGATTTCCTCTCGTGTAGCCTCGTTGCAACTTTGTTGTTCAAAGCGATTTATTTGTTTCCATTTACATGCTCTACATGCTCGTAAATTTGAGCACAAACTATAGAACTTGCTAGATTGCATTTCTTTTTATCCTATGTTTTCTGCTAACGATATGCTTTCTTTGAATTGAATTAGATCAATAAAAGAATGAGATTACCCTTTTTTTTATTCCATCCTCTTTGATCTAACTTATTAGTCTACAGTTGAATGCCTATATGCATCTTGTATGCTTGGTGGGTTGTTCCATGAATATCATCTGACTTCTTTTATCATCTAATGCAGATCGTCCTACTTTTCATTATATTGTCTATTATTTTTGCATATCGCTCTGCCAACCAATCGAGTTACTAGGGTAAGTTGTGCCAGAAAACAAAGTTCTTGATTTGGTTTGTTATCAGGAGAATGATTTTCTAAAAACCTCCTTTTTCAATGCTCAGGATGGGCGATTTCTTGAAATTTCCCCATGTGCATATGGATGATGGCTCGCTACACAAGTGCCTGCACTATTCCATGGAAGCTGCTTTTCTTATATTTGTGTACAACATTGTAATGGCTACACTTTATCTCAGTGTGCATCCAATACTAAAATTTTACTACCGTTCCAATAGCTATCAATCTCGTCGTAGTAACTTATAATGTATTTTTGTAGTCTTTATCAGCCATTCAGGACTGTCGAGCATAGAAATAAGGTCCTATTTGGTTGTTATCGTAGAGTTGTTTTGTGGATAAGTTTTTCCAAGTGAAATGCCAGCTGATGACCTTCTGGTGAGCAATAATGTCCACCCTGGGTGGCTCTCTTCTCTCTCTTCCTGTCTACTCATCCTCTGGGGACGAGGGACTGATCTCTGATCTGTTCTTATTTGGGGCAAATCGGTTTAGTCTCCTTTTGTCGAGATTTTCTTTTCACAAATCCCCCCGTGGGTATTTGCTGCTGGCTTTGAAATGAAGAGGATCTAATGTTGACTAGTGATTTTGAGTGGGTTGGTCTGTTTTTATGTTAGGGTCGATGTTGGGATAGGTCCGACCGTCTTTGGGTTTGTTTGGAGTTGAGCTCTTGCAGCTCAAGCAAATAATTGATGAAATACCAAGTATATATATGAAAGCGGTAGTGAATAACAAACTGATAATATTAGATCAATTCTCTGAATGAACTAAAAGATACGGTAACAAGAATCGTGAATCTAAAATTAAAGAAAACGATAGTGAAGTCACATGTATATAGTAATAATCATAAACGATATAATTCTGTATGAAACTTGCATAAGGAATCTTCAGTTGGATCTTTTGGATCCGGACATGGAATGATCTGCAAAAAAAAAAAAAAAAAAAAACATTATTGTTTAATGCAAACAAAGGTTGGTGATTAACATAAACTACAATCGAGAGAAATTTGTAGAACAGCCTACCGCGTGAAGCGAAATTATAATGGGTATAATTGCTACCAAAGCTTCTATGAAGTTTCCATTAGTTATTGCAAGAATTTCAACAAACACAAGGAGACTTTGAAAGATTATAGAGTTCATGACGGCCAAGGCATCTTCAAAGCTTCCTGCGAGTCTGACTGCTGATATCGCTATACAAGACAAACCAGAAAAAGGGATAGAAACGTAATAATTCCCTTTAAAGACATAAAGAGTTATGACCTGAACTAAGCAAATAATTCTATCATATCGTTGGCTTGTTTTCGATATTAATAATGAGGAACTGTTAGACGACAAAAAAAACGCAGGGGATATAATTAAAATGGTGAGAAGAACCATTGTCAGAATAAATTTTACAGCTTCCCAATATGGATCGGTAAAAACAGAAGTCATAGAAGGGTCGGTAAAAACAGGAATCATAGCAGCGATCAGCGGCGTATACAACATGTAAAACCCAACAAACGCTGTTAAATTGAGTAAACATATCAGAATAATTCTCTTTAATTCTTCTATGGTGGATAGCTCTGTGATCTATCTATTGCTTCTCTGTAAGCGGGTTTGGATTATTTGGAAGGGTTATCGTAAGCTAAGCTAAGGTGATTTGCTATACCTTGGCCCCATTATATATAGGTTGGTAAATCATGGAAAACTTAGAATACGTAGTTATTTAGATTAAAACAAAGTCTTGGAGTAGGTATGACTCCTACTTGAAAATGGCAATTGGACATGCTCTGAAAAGATCAAAACAAAGTCCCAACGCAGCCAAAACAAAATAAAAAATAAAAAATACTCCATCTGAGCTGATAAGATCAAAGCAGTGGCCCAAGGTACGATGCTTTCTTTAATTCTAAGCAAGATATGTTTGCCTAGCAATTTTGAGTCCTATCCAACTTCTAGTGTTAGTTACAAGATAGAACTTGTTCTTTGCCAGTCCTTTCGACTTGTTGATGTCCTTACATACTCAGGAATGGTCCAAAACATAATTCTGCTTTGATGAGTTCCGGTTGCATCTTTGTTACTCAAACCAATTTATTTATGCAATTGCTATGCTTGGGCACTTAAGTGGTATTACATACTACGTTTTTTCGGCCTTACTGATTCATCTACATTTGGACGTTGTGGCTTAAGAATCGGTTTATTTTATATTCTCAACGCAGATTTACCTACTTCTTTCGTATTTTCCATCATTTTTGCGTCTCCCAGCTGAGAGTACCCAGGATAAAGGAATAGCTATTGATTGGAGTTAATTATTGAGAAAGTTTTCACTAAAAACATTGTTTCATTTGTGCAGGATGGTTGATTTCTTCAACTTCTTCTATTTATGGACGATGGGAAGGCAAAATTTGAGTGCCTTGTGTTCCATGGAACTTGCTGTTTTCTTATGTTTGTACAGGATATTGTAATGGCTGCACTTGATTGTTTCTGTTTGTGAATGCAATGTAAGTTCCTATAGCTTTCAACCCTTAATATCAAGCTACACTCTTGAATAAGTTCCTTAATATAACAGCCGAAATTTTTGTTTCCTGCACCCGCAGTTCCAAGCTACTATGTTAAATTTATCAATTATAAAATTAATAATTAAAAAAATAGAGTAGCACTGGTCAATTACCAATAGTAGGTACATCAATAGCCCCAAAGCCTGAGGTATATGTCCATGGTCTATAGAGTGACTGCCCATCATCTCATCTGCAGGATTGGTATCCATGGCATTGAATGGGGATGGGGACTGCTTCTGTTCACTTGGACCCGATTCAGGTATTATCCACGGTTTGGCTTGTATTAAATTAATATTATGCTCTTGGCGAGTGACTGCCGTTGGTGCCATTGGAAATCCTTCCCAGTGAAAGGCAGCTTTGAATGTCTCTGCCATTAGAGTAATGACTGGATCTTTAACTGGGCTTGGGGTGGATATATGGGTAATTGGAGGGTGGGTTTTCTTTTGTTTTGGGTAAGTGGCTTCGAGAGGCATTTGTGGGCTGGAGAGAAGTGGGCTCAGTTTCAGGAAAGGTGGTCTTAAACTTGGCCACCGTTTGAGGCCCTCTTGAAGAGCCTGTGGCCTTTCCTTTGGATTTGGGCCGAGAGTTTGTGTCCTGGCCGTGAGTTGTCCCTTCCACAAAAACAAATTCTCCAGTACCCGTGTTCAATGGCGTGGGAGGTGTGGCAGAGGCATTCGGATCAGACTGAAATTCCTGAAGAGTCGAAGATCTGTTCCTAAAACCACAGAAAGACTGTTAGCCGTTTTCATCCTGATGTTTTACCCTTGAAACGCGCCGTATTTTTTTCTCCACCTTCGTCCAAATTCAGATTTGTCATTTCTGTCAGCTGGCAAATTTGTCTCTTTGTTCATGCCTGCGTCACGATCTCCATGGCTGTCCTTCTCAGACTGAACGAAGCTAGCGGAGTGGAGCCTCAGAGCACAATCATCTGCTTTGTAACCAGAACGCCCACAATTGAAGCAGATGGTGTGTAATCCTTCATACACAATGTTGTAAGTTCTTCCTTTCAGTTCAATTCTAACAATCTCAACATGAATTCCATCAGATGGTGTGTGATCCTTCATGCACAATGTTGTAAGGTCTCGGAATGAGGTGCGTTCTCTGGGTTGAGAGAAGAACATGACTCTGTCTCTCTCTTTAACGTTTCATTCCAAATAACTATTCTATCCTACAGGGCTATATCAGTTACATAAGCTCGAATGTTATGTCTATGTGGTGTCATTAGACTTTCTCATCTGCAGGTTGAAACCATCGACGATTATGATTAACATCGCCACTTTGTAGCAGGACTAGTTGGACTGGACCCGTCCAAGCTTTTCCATCATTCCATGCTTCTGAATTAATAAATTAATACTAATAAAAAAAATTGTTCTTTTAACCGTTTAAAAAGAAAGATTTAATAAGATTGTGCAGTTTTTTTTAACCATTGAAAGAAAGCTAATCCTTAAGTATTCAATCAATCATAACTTCATAATAAATTTCATTTGGTCAGTGTAAATGTATGCTAATAAATTTTAAAGATAGCTAGTAGACAACCTTATTTTTTCCCTCAGATCTTGGCTTACCTGTACAATTTTTAGGCGCCCTAGTGCCAATTCATGCCAGGATAAGTAGCGAGTAGTGCACGAGAATCGATGCACACACACGTATATTGCGTTAAAATAGCTAATCTTTTTTATTAATAGATTTCCTTTTTTTACAAAAAAACCTACACTAGATGGAAAACTAACTATCACATAATTATATTATTGGTAGAGTAAATTTGATTACAAAATAATTTCGAATGTGATAGTCAAGCACCACTAATGCAATGGAATTTCCGAATAACAAGAAATATTGGCATCCATCAAAATCTTTTCCATGTCAACATAATAGATGATAATATGCAAAGGTAATATACAAGTACATGTGCCAAAGTTAACAACAAAAATATCATATATTGACACTTTTCGAAACATGTTTGTTTAAAATAATTAATAAAAGGTCAAACTAAAGTGCACGTATGTATGACAATGGATTGTTTCCGTAATTAGTACAAAATTTAAATACTTTTTTAAGAGTTCTAGTGTAGCTGCCGGTAGGGCAGGGTTCCCTATTAATTTTGTCAGGAAAGCAACACAAGTGCAGCATCACGTAACGATAAGTAAATTATAAATTAGTCCCTTTAATTATTTAAACGAATTATATAATTTTTTTAATTGCAAAAACACATTATATTTTTTTCGGCAGGCTATAACGAGTGGTGGTGATGGTGATTTGATATTCGAGTTTAAGGGGAGTAGTGATTTGATTTTTTCGTGGTAGTAGAGGTAAATAAACGATTCGATTAATCGAAAACCAAATAAAACCGAACCGAATTATGTAATTTGGTTTGATTTTAAAATAAAATTTGCAAATTTAAAACCGAATCGAAAAATCAAAATTATTTCGATTCAATTCGGTTTTTTTTTAAAAATTCAGTTTCGACCAAAAATCAAAATAAACCGTAAAAAATCTTAAATTGTAATTCTAATTTCTAAATCCCTAATTCACACAAACACAATCACGCTTTGTCTTGCTAAACATTTTAGCCGCACCCAATTTTCTCCTTCTCATTACGTGATTTATGTCTTCTCTAACCGGCAATCGACCTTTATTCCCTTTTTCTTCTTCTCCCGTTCTATTTGCATCCCTCAATAGTCAATAGTTAGTCCCTTCTTCATCCATAATCCTTCTATCCTCCTCCAAATTCCAATCTCACCTTTCACCAACCACTCGTTTGCTTATCCATCACCACCACCTCTCTGTCATCTTCCTTCGGTCGTCGATCATCGGTCACCACCCATCACCTTCCTCCTACTCGCTCGCCTATTATTGATCTCTTCCTCTACTCGCGAGCTTGCCCAAGGTCGGTCTCTACTTGTGAACTCACCGTCATTCTTCCTTAGGTCCTTATGTTATGTGATATTTATAGTATTCATTGAGTTGTGGCATGGGGTAGATTACATTATTACAAACATAGAATCTCATGTATTTTACCTTTCACTCGGATTATTGGGTCCGAAAATCAATGCATAAATTGATTATTTTTAGGCATCGACTTAATCAACCCTCATGTTCATATTTAGTTTAACTCTAATGCTTTTTTGTCATTCTATTACATGTTAAGATTTGCACGTAAGATGCATATATATGTAACATGTAAGTGATTATTGGGAGTTAATATTCATTGCCTTGATGAGCTCGTTATAGTGTTATTATTTACATTTTAGGATTGGGGTTAGCAGCTTTCCAATTCCTAGTGCCGTGGCAACTCGGGCATCCATTGTTGAAACCGACTCAGCTGAGGAGACTTGTAGCAGTCTCGGTAGTTGACGGATAATGACAAGTGTGAAGTGACTTACTAACTTGTGAAAGTGATCAAGAGGATGAAGAAAAATTAGCTTTGTGTTGTTTGAACTTTGAAATATGTTTGATATTTATTTGTGTGATTGACTTATAACTTATTGTTCTATATGAGCCTATTGTGAGTCCGTGACAAAATAATGGAAGAACTATGTTCAATGTTGTTTGAAATATGTTTGCCATTTGTTTGTGTGTGATTTAATAGTGATTGACTATTGAGCATTGAAATTTGAAACAGCAGCAGTAGCTTACTCGTTTAGTGTCTAATACTCTAATTGAAATATGTTTGACATATTTGGTTTTGGTGAGAATGAGATACTCGCTTTTGGGAGAAGATTTGAAGTTACCCTGCTCGTTTTGGTTTTGGTCACATATTTGATTGTTCGTCGTTATGTTGTTGATCGCTCGCTTCCTTTTAGCTTTGATAATAGATCTCGTATCTCTTTGTTTTTAATTTTTTGTGAGCTTCTAGCTACATAGATTAAGCTTAGCCTAGTGTGCATAGAGAGGGAAAGAAACAATAGAAACACGGGATAAACTACACCCTTATGATGGAACAAGTAACATGAAATGAGAGGGAGAGAAACATGAAAAGGAAAGCACTCGTCAAACGAATACGAAGGGAATAAAAGAAACAAAGAGGAGAAGGGAGAAAATGGTAGGTATGAATCGTAAAAAACAAAATAAAGAAAGAGAGATGCATAATGAGAAAGGAGCGTAAGGAGAAGGAAACTTAAGCTGAAAATAAGAAGGGATTTTGGGTTAGGGAAGAAAAAAAGAAAAAAGAAGCTAATTGGACGTACGACCTAGGCTAGTAACTAGGAAGGAAATAGGGCACCACCTTGTTTTGCTAAACTCGTGTATGCATACAAGAAATTTTACGGATTAATGGATATTTTTTTTACAAGTAAATTATTTCGATTAAAATCAAAATTTTTCAAAACCAAATCGAAATAATTCGATTTTAAACCAAATTTATCGAATTTATTTTGGTTCAATTTTGGTTTTAGTTTTTCCTAATTTGGTTAACTAAAAACCAAATCGAATTATCCAAAACCGAACCGTTTAATCAAATGATCACCCCTACATGGTAGTCGTTGCTTTGCATTGTTTGATTATCATTTTTTTCACGAGAGAGGAATGATTATAAATGGTTTGATGTTCATTTTTTACTACTTCAAATTCAAAGTTAAAAATAGGACTTATTTTCTCTCTCTTACTTACTTTCTCTCTCTTGTTTTTTTTTCTTGTTATATGGCTTGTTTTATTGGCATTGGATTTTGATTAAGAGATTGTAATAAATCAATAAAAAAAACAAAATTTTTTAACCATTAAAAAAAACAAAGTTAATAAGGGTGTGTTAATATTAACTCTTTTTTTTTTTTAACAATTGAAACAAAGAAAATCCCCAATCCATCAGTCGAATATGAGATAACTTCTTTTGTTTTCATTCCATCAACCGAATATAAGATGACTTCTTTTGTTTTTATTGATTCTTTTTTTTGGTCAAATTTTGGCATGTTAGTACCTCTTTTGAGATTAACTCTTTGTTAAGGTCCACAAGTACACTTAAAATTTGTATTTTTTCAAGAGTAAACATTCAAATGTTTTTCAAGAGCTAGAATTTATTTGCCGGTAGGACATGGGTCCTTTATAATTCAATCACCAAGGTACTCGTAAGTGCAGCATTGCCTAGAAATGGGTAAATGATAAATTATTTTTTTTAATTTTGTAAAATAAATGAAATATTTCTTTTTAACTCGAAACTAGTTATTTAGTTTTTCTATCAACATTATCATCTTTAATTTAATTTTTCAATACTTTTTTACTTTTTTACTTTTTTTTATTTGTAAGAAAAAATTGAAAATGAAAAAAAGATTGAGTTATTGATAAATTTAAAAATATAGAAATTAATTTATTATTTATTAAAACTAAAAGACTATTTGATTACTTTTGAAAACTAAAGGGATAAATATATAATTTACGCCCTAGCATTACAATTATATAATAGAATGCAATTACCATATAACTTTTTATCAACTCGTACGCCGCACATTTACACTCTATCTTGCTAGGAATAATGCGACTCGAGGAAGTCATAAGTAATGCCCTTGTGCTTTTGCCTAGGCAAATTGAAACCATCCAAGCGAGTGACATTTCCTCATACTTCATCATCCTTATCTTTAGATTTTTATTTCTCCCTCCGGCCATTTTGCTTTTCGCTACTTATTTTAATCTTCCCCATTTGACAAGATCAAAATAGCTTTTCCAACTTCCAATCCTACTATTGTCGCTCCTTCATTGACAAGCAATGCTCAAATACTTATAGCCTAATTTGACTCTTCCAACTAAGGCTGAAGCCATCTTATAAGAATAAGTCTAGTCCAAACAAGAAGCCCAACACTTCATTCTAGATTTCTTCTTTATGTGATAGTCGATATTCTTAATGTAATAGAAGAATAAAAAGAGCGTCGGTTGAACCACTATTCTGAAAAGTAAATCCACTACCACCTTTTCCTTGCACTACCATTCTAAAAAATCAATCCACCATCTTCTTTTGGTTGCATCATGGATAAGAAGGGTAATTTCCATAACATTAAGAAACTCTAAATTTCTCCTTTATGTGCTGGAAAATATTATTAATGGAATAAAAGAATAAAAAAGGCGACGATTGAACTACTATTCTGGAAAATGAATCTACCACCATTTTTTTCTTGCACTATTATTTTAAAAAATTGTTCCACCATTATCTTTCACTTGTATCATCAATAAAAGGAGTGATTGTTAGACTTAGGAAACTCTCGACTCAAGAAGACAAAACAAATCCCAAGAATAAAAAAATTATCATATTTATTCATGTCTATAAATTAAGAAAGATGTTATGCTTTATGGCACAATGGTAGGTGCAAAAAAATATCATGTCTAAGTATAGACACAAGCATATTAGCTATGAAGTAAAGCTCGTGCCTAGGCAAACCAAAGCCATCAAACAAGGTCACTACTTTCCCTCACTTCACCATCCTTGTTTTTGCTCTTTTTTTTTTTTTTTATGGTGCTAGCCTTTTCACATTCCTTTGATAGTTTTACTCTCCCATACGATGTCAAAAGGTAGCCCAATCACCTTACAGGGCTATATCGATTACTGAAGCTCCAATGTTATGTTTATGTGGTGCCATTAGACTTTCTCATCTGCAGGTTGAAACCATCGACGATTATGATTAACATCACCACTTCGTAGCAGGAATAGTTGGACTGGACCCGTCCAAGCTTTTCCATGCCTCCGGATTAATAAATTAATAAATAAAAAATACGCAATATTCTTTTAATCGTTTTAAAAAGAAAGATTTAATAAGATTGTGGCAATAGTAGTTTTTTTTTAACTATTGAAAGAAAGCTAATACTTAAGTATTCAATCAATCATAACTTCTTATAAATTTCATTTGGTCAGTGTAAATGTATGCAAATAAATTTTAAAGATAGCTAGTAGATAGCCTTTTTTTTTTTTGTCAGATTTTGGCTTACCTGTACAATTCTTTAGCGCCCCAGTGCCAATTCATGCCTGGATAGGTTGCAGGCAATGCACGAGAGTCGATGCAAACATGTGTGTGTGTGTGTATTGTGTTAAGATAGCTATTTTTTTTTATTAATCGATTGCTTGTTTTTTACAATAAAACTACTCTAGATGGAAAACTAACTACCACATAATTATATTATTGGTAGAGTAAATTTAATTACAAAAATAATTCCGAATGTGATAGTCAACCACCACTAATGCAATGGAATTTCCGAATAACAAGAAATATTGGCATCCATCAAAATCTTTTCCATGCTCATGGTCTAAACAACTTACTATTAGCCTATAGTCAATAGAATATATGATAATATGCAAACATAATATATAAGTACACGTGCCAAAGTTTACAATAAAAATATCACATATTGACATGTTTGTTTAAAATGATTAATAAAAGGCCAAACTAAAGTGCACATATGCATGACAATGGATTGTTTCCGTAATTAGTACAAAATTCAAACGCTTTTTCAAGAGTTCTAATGTATGACAATGGACTGTTAGCCGTTTTTGCGTAGAAATATGTTATTTAAACGAATTATATTATTTTTTTTAATTTCAAAAACGAAATATAATTTTTCCTGTAGGCTATGACGGGCGATGGTGATGGTGATTTGATGCTTGAGGTTACAGGGAGTGATTCGGGTGGCGGGTTTATTTTTTCATGGTAGTGCTGCTTTGCCCTTTTTGATTATAATTTTTTCACCGAGAGAGTGATTATAAACGGTTTGCTGTTCATCTTTTTCGACTTAAAATTCAGAGTTAAAAATAGGACTTGTTTCTCTCTCTCTCTCTTTTATGGCTTGTTTGATTGGCATTTGATTTTGATTAAGAGATTTTAATAAATTAAACACACAAAAAAAAATACCAAGATCATTTTAATCTTTTTTTTTAAAAAAAAAACGAAGTTAATGAGGCTATGTTGATATTAACTGTTTTTTTAACCATTGAAACAAAGAAAATCCCCAATCCATCAGCTTGAGATAACTTCTTTTGTTTTGATTCGTTTTTTTTTTTTTGTCAGATTTTGGCATATCAGTACTGTTTACACACCTGTTTCCTTTGTTAAGTTGTATGATATAATTAAAATTTGTATTTTTCAAAGAGTAAAAATTCAAATGATTTTGGTATTACCTAGAAATGGGTAATTACAAATTTATTTTTAATTTTGTAAAATAAATTAAATATTGTTCTTATCTCTAAAACTAGTTATTTAGTTCTTTTATCAATATTATTATCTTTAATTTAATATTTTTTTTCAAAAATATTTTAATTTTTCAATATTTTTTACTTAGTTTTTTAACTTGTAAGAAAAAATTGAAAAAGAAAAAAATATTAATAAATTTAAAAATATAGAAATTAATTTATTATTTATTAAAACTAAAAGACTATTTGATTACCTTCGAAAACTGGAGGGACAAATATACAATTTAGGCTGTAGCATTATATAATTCCTTCTTTCTCCCCTTACTCTCTCTCCCTCTCTATGTCCCCTTCTCCCCCTCTCTTTCTCTCTCGCTCTCCTCCTCTCTGCCCCTCTCAGTCTCCCTCTATTCCTCTCTCTCTCCCTCTTTTTCTCCCACCCTTTCTCCCTAAGAGAATATAATTACTGTATAACTCTCTGTCAACTCACAACCTGCATATTTACACTTCATCTCCTACACTTTAGCTAGGAATGATGCAGCCTGAGGTAGCTAGAAGTAATGCCCTTGTGCCGTCAGGTGGCTATTTCCCCATGCTTCATCGTCCTTACTTTTACATTTTCTTTCTCGCCTTAGCCACTTCACTTTCAGCTACTTGTTTTAGCCTTCCCCATTTCGAAAACATCAAAATAGTCTATCCACCTAACACTTAAATACCTACAATGTATAAAGGGGCTTATATTTCTATATTTGTTTTGGTAGCTGTCTGGGTATTGATGTCCATCGCCTTGTGTCCTCAATATAGTACAAATGTTTATAGATGGTTTCAACGTCTTCTCACCCGCTACAAAGGAGAACTTGGCACTGCAGGAGTTGTAGTTGCCAAGTGGTTAATGGAATGGGTACTCCAAGGAACTCATCCTATCATTCTTGGAGTTCCCATGTTTCTATTTTCATTTGCACTTCTCGCTGTGCTTGTTGCAAATAATGAGCAAGCTTCTTTAATCTCCTGTATCATCTTTGGTAAACAGGTCTTGCAAATAGGACTCATCCTTGAAGACAGAGATTCAGCGAGCCAGATGGCTACTTAGGCATTGCAGGAATGATTTTGACTATATTGGCCCTGGTAAATATCATTTATATTTATCATTATCATTTTTTATTACCATCAATATTAACAATACATTCAATCTTATTTATAGGTGATACAACGTGGAAACTTATTGCTTGTAGGAAATGCAGATACTGAAACACCAGCAACAGAGGTATAGATGCAACCCCTGGATGGAAGACGTGACCCCGAAACCTAGTTATTACTTCGTTTTAATCAATAGACTCATGATTAGTGAGTTGGCTTTTTATTGGAGAGATATTATGTATTTTGTAGTAGTTTCGACATCTGGTGCTTTTATCTAATTTTAATTTTTTTTTCAACTAATGGTGCGTATATATATATATATATATATATATATCTCAGACAAGTGTTTTTAGTTTATTTATTTTGATATATTCGTGTTTCTATGAGGAGTTTATACTTGTTATGTTTATTTATTACTCATATCTTTATGTATGCTTGACATGCTATATATGTTTAACGTATTACCATTAAACCCAGTTCTGTAAACTCGAAAAAATTCTCTTGGTATGGGCTTGACAACCCAATCCCCATATCGGGCTGTTTAAGATTTAAATAAGTATTTGTCAGAATAAAAGAAGCTATTTAGACTTTGAGATATTATTGGGTTAGTTAATTATTAAGCTGATTTGTCTTTTTAGATTGTTGTGTTAAATTTAAGAAGACTTGCCCGAAATAAATTTAGCAAATTATTATTGTTTTTGTACAGAGATTAAGTTTCTGTACAGATACAACCCAATCCTTATCTTTATATTTTCTTTTCTCACTCTAGCCATTTTGCTTTTCGCTACTTATTTTAATATTCCCCATTTGACAAGATCAAAATAGCTTTTCCACCTTCCAATCCTACTATTGTTGCTCCTTCATTGACAAGCAATGCTCAAATACTTACAGCCTAATTTGACTCTTCCAACTAAGGCTGGAGCCATCTTATAAGAATAAGTCTAGTCCAAACAAGAAGCCCAACACTTCATTCTAGATTTCTTCTTTATGTGATAGTCGATATTCTTAATGTAATAGAAGAATAAAAAGAGCATCGGTTGAACCACTATTCTGAAAAGTAAATCCACTACCACCTTTTCCTTGCACTACCATTCTAAAAAATCAATCCACCATCTTATTTTGATTGCATCATGGATAAGAAGGGTAATTTCCAGAACATTAAGAAACTCTAAATTTCTCCTTTATGTGCTGGAAAATATTATTAATGGAATAAAAGAATAAAAAAGGCGACGATTGAACTACTATTCTGGAAAATGAATCTACCACCATTTTTTTCTTGCACTATTATTTTAAAAAATTATTCCACCATTATCTTTCGCTTGCATCATCAATAAAAGGAGTAATTGTTAGACTTAGGAAACTCTCGACTCAAGAAGACAAAACAAATCTCAAGAATAAAAAAATTATCATATTTATTCATGTCTATAAATTAAGAAAGATGTTATGCTTTATGGCACAATGGTAGGTGCAAAACAAATATCATGTCTAGGTATAGACACAAGCATATTAGCTATGAAGTAAAGCCTATGCTTAGGCAAACCAAAGCCATCAAACAAGGTCACTACTTTCCTTCACTTCACCATCCTTGTTTTTGCTCTTTTTTTTTATGGTGCTAGCCTTTTCACATTCCTTTGATAGTTTTACTCTCCCATACTATATCAAAAAGGTAGCCCAATCACCTTTCGATCCTACAGATTTTACTCCTCCAACAATAAACAATACTTAAGAATTTATAGGTTATAAAATATTTTATTTAAAGGTTGTTTTTGTATTTTCTTGTTATTCATGTTCTATACCATGTGTGCTGAATGTCGTATAAATATATGTAAATGATTTATGCCATGCCTCAAAATTTTTTAGTGTTTTATTTTTATCCATTTTTTATTTCTTTTTTTATTTTTATTATTTAGTTCATGTTGTTTGTTTAAACCAAAAAATAAAAAAAATGGTATTAGTTTCAATACCATAAAAATACAAAAAAAATTAGAAAAGATAAAATACAAAAATTGCAAAAGAAAGAAAGAAAGAGATGGAGGGATAGTTCCTCTCCATCTCCCGTGCAATCCTCTAATTTTTACAGACCTTTTCTCTAAGTCAATAATCCCAACGACCACCTACTACCGTAGTTGCTACAACTCTCCCCTTACACTTGTCACAATCCCGTTGCAACTAGACCGTGGCTCCCCTAGCTCCCTTGCCCATTACCTAAAAGGAGTGACTGGGTGTACCACAATTTAGATATCGAAGTCTTAAATTTAATCCCATACACATACACAATGTACTAAATATCATTACAAAAATTATAAAATATAATTTATAAATAACAAAGCTAGCGGAGGGGAGCCTTAGAGCACAATCATTTGCTTTGTAACCATAACGTCCATAATTGAAGCGAGATGGTGTGTAATCCTTCATACACAATGTTGTAAGTTCTTCCTTTCGGTTCAATTCGCCAATCTTAACACGAATTCCATTAGATGGTGTGTGATCCTTCATGCATAATGTTGTAAGGTCTTGGAATGAGGTGCGTTCTTTGGGTTGAGAAAAGAACATGACTCTGTCTCTCTCTTTAACGTTTCATTCCAAATAACTATTCTATCCTACGTGGCTATATCGATTACTGAAGCTCGAATGTTATGTCTATGTGGTGCCATTAGACTTTCTCATTTGCGAGTTGAAACCATTGACGATCATGATTAACATTACCACTTCGTAGCAGGACTAGTTGGACTGGACCCGACCAAGCTTTTCCATGCCTCCGGATTAATAAATTAATAAATAAATAAAAAATACACAATGTTCTTTTAATCATTTTAAAAAGAAAGATTTAATAAGATTGTGGCAATAGTAGTTTTTTTTTTAACCATTGAAAAAAAGCTAATACTTAAGTATTCAATCAATCATAACTTCTTATAAATTTCATTTGGTCAGTGTAAATGTATGCAAATAAATTTTAAAGATAGCTAGTAGATAGCCTTTTTTTTTGGTCAGATTTTGGCTTGTACAATATTTTGGCGCCCCAGTGCCAATTCATGCCTGGATAGGTGGCGGGCAATGCACGAGAATTAGTGCAAACACGTGTGTGTGTATATATATATTACGTTAAGATAGCAAATTTTTTTTTATTAATTGATTGCTTGTTTTTTATAAAAAAAACTACTCTAGATGGAAAACTAACTACCACATAATTATATTATTGGTAAAGTAAATTTAATTACAAAAATAATTTCGAATGTGATAGTCAACCACCACTAATGCAATGGAATTTCCGACTAACAAGAAATATTGGCATCCATCAAAATCTTTTCTATGCTCACGGTCCAAACAACTTACTATTAGCCTATAGTCAACAGAATATATGATGATATGCAAACGTAATATATAAGTACACATGCCAAAGTTTACAACAAAAATATCATATATTGACATGTTTGTTTAAAATGATTAATAAAAGGCCAAACTAAAGTGCACATATACATGACAATGGATTGTTTCCGTAATTAGTACAAAATTCAAACGCTTTTTCAAGAGTTCTAGTGTATGACAATGGACTGTTAGCCATTTTCACGTAGAAATAAGTTATTTAAACGAATTATATAATTTTTTTTATTTCAAAAATGAAATATAATTTTGCCCGTAGGCTATGACGGGCGATGGTGATGGTGATTTGATGCTTGAGGTTACGGGGAGTGATTCGGGTGGCGGGTTTATTTTTTCATGGTAGTACTGCTTTGTACTTTTTGATTATCATTTTTTCATCGAGAGAGTGATTATAAACGGTTTGATGTTCATCTTTTCTGACTTAAAATTTAGAGTTAAAAATAGGACTTGTTTCTCTCTCTCTCTCTCTCTTTTTATGGCCTGTTTGATTGGCATTTGATTTTGATTAAGAGATTGAATAAATTAAACACAAAAAAAAAAACCAAGATCATTTTAATCTTTTTTTTTAAAAAAAAAAACAAAGTTAATGAGGCTATGTTGATATTAACTTTTTTTTTTAACCATTGAAACAAAGAAAATCCCCAATCCATCAGCTTGAGATAACTTCTTTTGTTTTGATTCTTTTTTTTTTTTTGTTAGATTTTGGCATATCAGTACTGTTTTGACACCTGTCTCCTTTGTTAAGTTGTATGATATAATTAAAATTTATATTTTTCAAAGAGTAAAAATTCAAATGATTTTGGCATTGCCTAGAAATGGGTAATTATAAATTAATTTTTAATTTTGTAAAATAAATTAAATATTTCTTCTTATCTCTAAAACTAGTTATTTAGTTCTTTTATCAATATTATTATCTTTAATTTAATATTTTTTGTTTTCAAAAATATTTTAATTTTTCAATATTTTTTTACTTAGTTTTTTAACTTGTAAGAAAAAATTGAAAAAGAAAAAAATATTAATAAATTTAAAAATATAGAAATTAATTTATTATTTAGTAAAACTAAAAGACTATTTGATTACCTTCGAAAACTGGAGGGACAAATATACAATTTAGGCTGTAGCATTATATAATTCCCTCTCTCTCCCCCTTACTCTCTCCCCCTCTCTTTTTCTCTCGCTCTCCTCCTCTCTGCCCCTCTCAATCTCCCTCTATTCCTCTCTCTCCCCCTCTCCCTCTCTCAACCTGCATATTTACACTTCATCTCCTACACTCTAGCTAGGAATGATGCAGCCTGAGGTAGCTAGAAGTAATGCCCCTGTGCCGTCACGTGGTTATTTCCCTATACTTCATCGTCCTTACTTTTACATTTTCTTTCTCGCCCTAGCCACTTCACTTTCAGCTGCTTGTTTTAGCCTTCCCCATCTTTGACAACATTAAAATAGCCTATCCACCTAACACTCAAATACCTGCAGCATATAAAGGGGCTTATGTTACTATATTTAGCTAAACCCTTTCTCCCTAAGAGAATGTAATTACTGTATAACTCTCTGTCAACTCACAACTTGCATATTTACACTTCATCTCCTACACTCTAGCTAGGAATGATGCATCCTGAGGTAGCTAAAAGTAATGCCCCAGTGCCGTCACGTGGCTATTTCCCCATACTTCATCGTCCTTACTTTTACATTTTCTTTCTCGCCCTAGCCACTTCACTTTCGGCTGCTTGTTTTAGCCTTCCCCATCTTGACAACATTAAAATAGCCTATTCACCTAACACTCAAATACCTGCAGCATATAAAGGGGCTTATGTTGCTATATTTGTTTTGGTAGCTGTCTGGGTATTGATGTCCATCGCCTTGCGTCCTCAATATAGTACAAATTTTTATAGATGGTTTCAACGTCTTCTCACCCGCTACAAAGGAGAACTTGGCACTGCAGGAGTTGTAGTTGCCAAGTGGTTAATGGAATAGGAACTCATCCAATCATTCTTGGAGTTCCCATGTTTTTATCTTCATTTGCCCTTCTCGTTGTGTTTGTTGCAAATAATGAGCAAGCTTCTTTAATCTCCTGTATCATCTTTGGTAAGCACGTCTTGCAAATAGGACTCATCCTTGGAGACAGAGGATTCAGCGAGCCAGATGGCTACTTAGGCATTGCAGGACTGATTTTGACTATATTGGCCCTGGTAAATATCATTTATATTTATATGTAACATTATTATTTTTTATTACCATCAATATTAATAGTACATTCAATCTTATTTATAGGTGATACAACGTGGAAACTTATTGCTTGTAGGAAATGCAGATATTGAAACACTAGCAACAGAGGTATAGATGCAACCCCTGGAAGGAAGATGTGACCCCGAAACCCAGTTATTACTTCGTTTTAATCAATAGACTCATGATTAGTGAGCTGGCTTTTTATTGGAGAGATATTATGTATTCTGTTTTAGTTTCGGCATCTGGTGTTTTGATCTAATTTTAATTTTTTTTCAACTAATGGTGTGTGTGTGTATATATATCTCGAACAAGTGTTTTTAATTTATTTATTTTGATATATTCATGTTTCTACGAGGAGTTTATACTTGTTATGTTTATTTATTAATCATATCTTTATTTATGCATGACATACTGTATATGTTTAATGCATTAACATTAAACCCAGTTCTGTAAACTCGAAAAAATTCTCTAGGTATGGGCTTGACAACCCAATCCCCATATCGGGCTGTCTAAGATTTAAATAAGTATTTGTCGGAATAAAAGAAGCTATTTAGACTTTGAGATGTTGTTGGGTTACTTAATTATTAAGCTGATTTGTCTTTTTAGATTGTTGCGTTGGATTCAAGAAGACTTGCCAGAAATAAATTTAGCAAATTATTATTGTTTCTGCACGGAGATTAAGTTTTTTTTTTCATCAAAAAGACACTAAATTTTTGTGTTTTGGATCGCAGGCATAATCTTACCCCCTTTGGTGCTTTCTTGACACTTCTTTGTATGATTTACTCAAAGTCCACTATGCAAACTAATTAAAACCACTTTACAGAATGCGAGACAATGGAGCACAGTGCAATCGGCATATGAACCATGAGACGCACATAAGCTCGTTAATAATATTCAAATCAGCACATTTATAGATCTTATACTTTGGACTCCATAGTGATGAAAGATGCAGAAAAATGAAATTTTTGTCATAGATCAAACCTGTTTACCCAGACCTTTCAGCAGATTCCCACGTCCCTTCTCCATCTGAGCACGGGCCCGACCATAATTCACTGCAGCCTTTGACAATCTATTACCACTAATGCTTGAATTTTTGGCAACATATTTTCTGCTATCTTCTGACAACTTTGTTCCTGTTAAACACAATGAATTTATATAGAACACAACATTACCTTCTTGAAATTCAATAGATATAGAATAGTACGGAACAACATCGAGACTTTCACTAACCCACCTATTTCAACTGGTTTGCATCCTGTGAAAATTTATCCTTCTACACCATAAACAAAAACCCTTTGGAAGTGCTGAAAAACAACATTTGACATTATAAGTCAATGACTGAAAAAAAACAGGGAGCAATACTACAAAGGAGGGCTAGATAACCTTACCGGCACCTGTTGATATGTAAAGCTTCTCAAGTTTCTGGTGCTGATGGAGTTCTGCTTCATCAGTAATAAGCGTGTATGAACCTCCAAAGTTTCTGGTGCTGATGGAGTTCTGCTTCATCAGTAATAAGTGTGTCTGAACCTCCATATCCACCAGCCTCAGACAGTTTGGGAACACCCTGAAGTAACACTCAGCACATTTAGAACACTGGTTTTGAGCAAACTACTATAAATGTGGGGAAAATAAAATGCAGAGCTTCATAAAGCCAGACATGTACCCTAATTAAGTCATGGATCGTGAGGAAACACCATCAAACGTATAAAACAAAATGGAGCTTCAAATTGATGTTCTGAACTTCCAATATCAAAGCACATGGAATTGAAACTTGCATTGCAGTGAAAAAAGAAGTCTGTTACATGCATAATTCTTATTGAAAGACACACAAAGAAAATAACATCACAAATCACAATCGAAAGGGAAAAAGAAAAGGGGCTTCAACTTGATGGGTTAATATCAAATTACAGTGTTACACACTAAACTAGCATTACGATTCTAAGAACTCGATTACAAACACAATTGGAAGAGGTGCAAAACATTGCGTTAGCGAATCATACATTGCAAATATGAAGTAATTTCACCCTGCATGCATAAAGATAATTAATTTATTCTCTTTTCGTTTTCACTTCACCAAATCCCACTCCTCTAAAACGTTAAATTCAAATCCTGAACCTTCACATAAATCTCATTAAGCACGAAATCAACCAACACTAACAATTTCCCTTACGATCTTTTATTTTCACTTCCACCTACATTTAATTGAACATTCTCAAAACCCCACAAATTTTTTCAGCTAATAACCCAAGACACCAATTTCTAGTTCCAATGCTTAATAATACTCCATAAATTTGACCAAATTTGCAAAACATTTCAACCAAAACACGATCTTTCTAATTCTTCAATCTATCCTATGAGCCTTGAATTGGGTTTTTGTTATTTTATTTGGCTGACATGCTTTCTTGCTTCTACCAGGAAATCTTGCATAATTACTAACTTATAATGTATTTTTATAGTCTTTATCAACCATTCAGGACTGTGGAGCTTAGAAATAAGGTCCTATTAGGTTGTTATCGTAGAGTTGTTTTGTGAATAAGTTTTTCCCAGTGAAATGCCAACTGATGACCTGGTGAGCAATAATGTCCACCCTAGGTGGCTCTCTTCTCTCTCTCTTGTTGTCTACTTATCCTCTGGGGACGAGTAGGGACTGATTTCTGATCTGTCCTTACTTGGGGCAAATCGATTGAGTCTCATTTTATCGAGATTTTCTTTTAACAAATCCCTTCATGGGTTGTTGCTGCTGGCTTTGAAATGAAGAGGACCTAATGTTGGCCTGTGAGATGAGGCGGTACACTGATTAGTGGTTTCTTGTTATAAAAAAAGGGACGATAACAAAAAAACAAAAAAGGCAAAAATTCAATCAATGTAAAAAAAAAAACATATAGAACTTTCAGTAAAACAATTCAAAGAACATATGTACCATATAATCAACAAAACCCTTTATGATTTATTTGGACCGAGATGATCACCACTTATCATTAATCAATTTTATTACGTATGGCCTCTATAAAAAATATACACCCAAATTATATCGAGAAATAGTTCATTCATCTTATTACTGTGCTGAAGGAGATTACAAATACATTAATATTTGTCAATGAATTGCCATACAAAAGTCCCATGACTGCTAAAAATTTATGCCTCGTTCGCACATGCTATTACCCTTACAAAGTCTGAGATGGATGCAGACAAAAATGGACACTGGATACGCAGGAAGTGCTACAAAGCTTTTGCAACCCCTCTTAAAGCATATGGACATTTTTTAATATCTATCTATATATTTCTATTTCTCTCGTTTCAAATGGTTAAAGCATTTCGGGATTTTTATTTGGAGGTCTGGATTAAGAAAGATCTTGAAGGGGTGGGTAGGAATTTTCTTTGTGTTGTACATGTTTTTCCCACCTCCTCCTCATGTGACTTCTATGATGGGCTGGGCTATAGGTCTATTTCTTAAAAAATTTCCAGATTTTGAGCCAAGCCATTTCAAAATAGCTAAAAAAAACTACGATCCGTCTCATATGTACACAAGTCTTCTCACAAGAGAATTTTCTTTGGGCCGAAGCTAGTAAATTTTGATTTTGACCCGTCGTTGTAGTTTTCCATCAATCCATTGCATTATTAGTTATTTTCTAACTTCGGTTGTAATTTTTATGTTTTGCAGGTTTGAACGTTTTATTTGGTCCTTCAAGTACTCGACAATGTTGGTTTGTCCTTGTTATCTTTAGGGTTGCCAATGGGGGCAGGGATCATCCCTATCTTCGCCCCCTCATCGAAAAAAAAAAAAAACCTATTCTCATTTCATGCTTCATTAGGGATGAAATTTTGCTTTTCATTCCCGCCTCAAATGGGGTGGAGCGGAGCTAGGCTTCACCAGATTACCTTTTTAAAAGGCAAAAGGGCAGAGCGAGGTGGGCATGGAACACGATCCCTTCTTTCAATGTACCCATACGGAAACCAGCCTGCTTTACCTTTGCATTCCCCTTCAGCCCAGCCATTGTTTGTAACCTGTCAAGAATGCATGGCAGAATATTAAACCTTGCATAAAGTTTAGTAGATGTAAAACAAAAAATTCTTGAACACCATAGAAATTACAAAAAAAAAAAAAAAGGTGCATCTTCAGAAAGCTCTAAACCTTTCGAACAACAACATATCACCAATTGACAAAGTCAGCTCCACATCAGATTGACCTTGATATGGATGCATGACCTGCAATAAAAAGCAAATAAATGGCAAACAATAAATAAAATGAAGCAACCACCATCAAAGTGCTATTTCGTAAGAAAATAAGGCAACATTAACAGAATGAATAATTCTTGGAGATAAGGATTTCAACAAACCAAATGGATATTTAGGCATACGAAGAATTTACTTTACTAGTTTTGTCTTGATAAAATATCACTTATATATATATATATATATATATATTATTTCTTTATTAATATTAATAGTATATTAAATATTTATTTTTTAATTTCTTATTTATAGGTGATAAGAAGTGAAAAAAATAATACTTTAGGACATATAAATCCTGAAGCCTCAACAAGAGGTATTGTTTCAACCTATAGGAGGAGGACGTCTCCAACACAGACATTTTTGTGATCCCAAAACCTAATCTTTTCTTTATTTTAACTAATTGACTGATGATTTAAAATTATTTCTTTATTATGATTAATATTAATAGTATATTAAATACGTAGTTTTTAATTTCTTATTTATAGGTGATAAGAAGTGGAAAAATAATACTTTAGGACATATAAATCCTAAAGCCCCAACAAAAGAGGTAATGTTGCAACCTATAGGAGGAGGACGTCTTCAACACAAACACTTTTATGATCCCACAACCTAATTTTTTCTTTATTTTAACTAATTGACTTATGATCAATGAGCTTAATTTTGATCCGATTGATATGATGTGCTCTGATTTAGTTTCAAGATTTGTGTTTTTATATAATCTTAGTTTTGTCCTTCTCTTTTAATTCATGATGGATATATATCTCTCGGAGAAGGTTTTTAATTTGTTTGTTTTAATATTTTTATATTTTTTTAGAAGTTCATATAAAATGTTATGTGTATTTTTTGAGAAGATGATATAAAATGTTGTATGAGTTCATTTGAAGAGTTCATATAAAATGATATATCTCTTAGAGAAAATTTTTAATTTGTTTATTTTAATATTTTTATGTTTTTTTTAGAAGTTCATATAAAATGTTATGTGTTTTTTTTTTGAGAAGTTCATATAATATGTGTGTTTGTGTTTATGTATTAGTATATATTTGTTTGCAAACATACTGTATATGTTCGATGTATCTCCCTTCAAACAGTTGTTATAACGTATGTGTATAATAACTCATATGAAGACAACCCAAAAATAGAGTGTCATGAATAAAATAATAACATTTATTCATTGTGAGGAACATGCTTGTATAAGATAAGATGGTTTATAAATTTTGCCATTATTGCGTGTTCCATAACATGATCGAAATAAGGATACAAGAGGCTGGACCATAGTAGGCAGACCATGACTTAAGTGGGCTGATCTGATATATTCAGTGTTCGCGTATTCATTTATCACCGAGTAAAAAGGTTTTGCCAATAAAGAAAATTAGTCATGCTGATAGCATTTCTCTTAATAATTTTGAAGGCGTCCAATGAGGCGACATGGAATTATCTCCATATGTGAAAAATGAAAATTCAGTTTGGAAATTTAGGTAGAAAATATTAAGAAATCGCAATATTAATTCAATGTCTTTTATTTTTCTAAGAAAGATATAGATGGTAGATTGCCTAATTGATCTTCGTGTTGTTAGTGGTCGTAATTATCAGTAATTGATTGATCGATATACAACTAGCCTATTAATTAATGGGTTTTTGCAACAACTCAAAAGGTGCATGGACTAAATTTTTTTTTTATTTTACTTTTCACGGTGTTATTTTTTTTATAAAAAAATCTCACACTAAATGCACCAAATGTGTTCTATATGAAACCACATCATAATAAAATGAAAAGGCATTTTTTTATAAAGTTGTTATAATAAATTAAAAATAATAAAATAATATATAAAAAAACCTAACATTCTATTATTAAAATAAAAATATGATGATGCACGATATCAATTAGCCAGAGGCTCCTAGTTAATGGTCTAATCCTCCAAAAAAAGTAAGAAAAATTATTTAATCAATTCAAAGTAAAAAATGAGGTTGCTCTGTCAAAAAATTAAGAATTGCACCATATTTTTTTAATATAGATCATTAACTATAAATCTGCACTATTGTTGTTTTATTTTAATTTTGACAAAATATTTATATATTTTTTTTCTAATTGCATGTTAGGTTTTTTTTTTATGCTTTTTATTATTTAAAATCAATATAATATATATATTTTTTAAAATACTCTTTGTAATTTTATTGTGATAATGTCTTTCATATGATACGTTTTCAAGTATTCAAGATAATGTTTGAAAAAAAATAATAATAGCATGATTTTTTTTGTAAAGAAATAATTTGATCTCTATACTATTTGAATTATTTAATTTGACTCTATTCTATATTTACTTTGTTGTCATTCTTTCGTTATCACGTCGTTAGTTTGTGAGAAGATGTTATATTACACTCATGAATGTGTTTTTTATTTTGTTTTTTTATTATGCATTTGGTATAGTTTATAAACTACTATAAGTTACAGTCTTAAATGTATTACACATGTTATACGTAGAAGCTCAATAGAAAAATTCAATAAAGATGAAAAAGAATACAAAGTTTTAATGAAAACAATTCAAATTGTACATGTACCATATTGAGCAAAATCCATTAATTAACTAATCGCCTTAAATTCTTGTTTTAAACCAAAACCTTGGGAGCTGCGGTGTTCTGTGTTACAAATCATTATCTTGGTTGCCATCTTCAGAACCTTTTTGTTACAAAGGGGATGTCGATGGTTCATCGATCGGTAAACCCAATAAATCCGGTGTCGATGGAGTTCCTGGCGACAGAAAAGGGCGAGTAGATGTAGGACATGGTAGAGATTGAAGGAAAGGAAGGAGATACAAAATGGGGTAAAATACGTAGATTTCATGCACCAAGAATAGGGGTTGTTTTTCAATCACTGTTTTTGGTGGATATATCTTTCCCTGGTTCTTAATTTTGGAAATTTTTTATTTACTGTGAGTGCCTTCATCTTTTGTTATGTGTCCTGTCCATAGGGAGTTAGCAGCAAGCTCGAAGTCTACTTGGATTGTCCTATGTATTTGTTGTTTATTTGCTCCACTCTTAATTTTATATATATATATATATATATTGAAGAAGGAGATCAAAGCAAATTTATCACAGTTATAAGGAAGGGTGGTAACAAAATATAATGAAAAATAAAAAATAAATCAATTAATACCAAAAAATATAATTTCAATAAAAACAATTAAAAAAATACATACACCCGTATATGAGTAAAATCCTACTCAAAACTTGAACCGTTGATACTTATTACCATCCATATTTAATATTAATAGCAGCATCCCATAATTTTTATTTTTCAAATCTTAGGATATTTAACGTCTAAAGGCTTAGATTAATTTTTTATTGTTCGACGAACGCACAAAACAAGAGCAACTATTTAAGAACATTTCTACGTACACAAAGATTCAAATCTTACATCATTTATCTAAATGATTAAAATTATTTTTGTTCAAACTAATCTTCTTAGATAACTCGTCCACAATTCTAATTTAAGTAGAAAAATAACCTAAATTGGCTTTGAAAGTACAATCTCTAATCAAACGATTACTATTATTTTTACAGTAACAACAACGATTATATTTCTCAAAATAATAAAAAAAATAATTATAAAAATATAGGAAAAATCATGTGGATTAATTGATTAGTTAATTTGTGACCGATAGAGATTAACCTTCCGAAAGTAACAGAGTGAATAAATTGAAATCCACGATTATATTTATATTTTTTTATAGTAAAAAATAAAAATATATTATGGACCTACATCCGATTAATGTCAATAGAAACCCCCCTAATTTCTTTAGTTTTGTAAACTCGAAAAAAATCTCTGTTTGGGCTTGACACCCCCAATCCCCATATCGGGCTTTCTAAGATTTAAGTAAGTAATTGTCAGAAAAGTTTACCAAAAGTCACAGTAGCCAAGACATATTTTTTGTTATAATAAGATTATAATTACCATTTCCAATTAAGACTCAAGAGTCAAGACTGATCCTAAAGCAACAAAGACATTGATTAGAATGGCAGTGATGCAATAACATTGATTAGGGAATCTGATTTTCTAAACAAAAGGTTGTCAATGTGACCTTGGAAAATTGGATGTAGTTTTAATTTTAAACTTGTTTTTTTTTATTGAATAGAATCGTAAACTTTAATAATGAATTAAAAGATGAGAATTGCAACAGGAACAAGGCAGTACACCATTAAGAAAACGGTAATAGTCTCATAATTGTTGAGAGAACATTTTTACTGGAAAATCATCGTTTCATTTGTCCAAGATGATTGATATCTTCAACCTCCCCAGTTTATGGACGATGATGGCTGGCTATAGTATGTGCCTTGTTCTACAGAAGTGATTCTTTTTGTCTTTAAAAATACCGTAATGGCTGCTATTGAATGATCTGTTTAGTGAATATAATGCAAAATTCTATAATTATACAGTTCCTTAGCTTTCAATCCAATCAGTTAAGGGACTCAACCGGTTACTCATGAGCTGGATCATAAACTCATAAATAAGGCCCTCAGCCTTTGCTTGTTCTAGTATAAATGATGGGGATGGTGTAATAATACCAAGGGGAGATTAGATGCAAATTGAAATAAAACCATCGGTTGTTGATGTTAGGGAAAAGAAGAAGAAGAAGAAGCTATTTAGACTTTCTAGATGTTGTTCGGTTAACTAATTATTAAGTGGATTTGCTTTTTTAGGTTGTTATCTTGGTTTCAAAAAGAGTTGCCAAAAATAATCTTTCTCATGAATGTATTAATCTACAGCTAATCAGTGTTTTTTTTTTTTTTTTGGCTTGATTAAAGACATGATATTGACACTAGAACTATAAGTTTTATCATAAAAATTTCTCAAGATCTGACTTGACATTTGAACCTCACACGGAACATCTTTTCTTAACCATTCAACTAATCACTAAAAAAATTGAATATAAAGTGGTCAAAGGAGTAAGGATTGAAAAAAGAGTATATATATCATTTCCCTATAAATTAAAGTTTATTTTTTTTAAAAAAAAATAGATTTTGTTCAATTGTTGCACAACTGATTGAGAATATGTACCATTAACTGAAAAAAAAAAAAAAAAAAAAAAACTTTAATTTTATTAAAGCCTCGTAGAACGAGAATTTCTGATCCTTGAGCAGTTGAATTTTTTTTCTTTTGTACCATGTTTTTAGACTATGGAAACAACCTTTACATTAACAATTGCAAATTGTCGTGAAGGAAAAAGTATTAAAGAGATGAAAGTTGCCAGAACCTCTACCACTTATACAAAGACTTGATCTAGTTGGCTGTCTGAAAAAAATTAAATTTCACAGTTTGGATTTTCGAAGTAAAACTTCTTTTATTAAATAAAAGGACTTGAGAAAAAGTTCCAAGGGGAAGAGGGAAATACATTTATGTTGTTTTCAAAAAAACAAAATAACAGTTTGAATTTTTAACGTGTAGAATCGTTTGGCATATGTTTTGACAGTTAATCTATTAGCAGTTTACTAACATTAGAATCCTTGTACCTTTTAATTAAGTGACATGTTTATAAAAATTTCTAATTATTCTTTATGTATTATAAAATTTTTCATCTTTTTAGACCATCTTTTTACTTTTATAAATACTATCTATCGAGAAAGATATACATACAACCAATTCTTCTATTCTACTTTTCTTCTATATTCATTTTTTTCTTTTATTGGCTGTCACGATGGTTTAATTTTGTTCCTCTTTCTCAAGTATGCAGACGAGAGTCTGGACATCATATATATGAGAGAGAAGCAAATATAATCCTATAATGGTTCTAGTTAATAAATATCACTAATTACGAAGTAGAAGCGAAGCAAATATAATCCTGCAATGGTTCTAATTAATGAATATCACTAATTACGAAGGTTGTCTCTAGCCAGAGCAACTATTCAATATTATCATAATATTATTTCTCCATTCACATGAAAATAAGGTTTAAAAATGATTATTATCGTGGGTCTCATCTTTTCTGTAGCGTAAGTGTGTAACAATGCTGTGCGACCAACATGGACCGCGTTCATTTTTGGATGACAATAGACCAGAATCTAGATGCTCAGAGCAGCAACGGCCGGCAGAACTCAAGTCATCGACAATCACGTAACACGTATCACCACGTAGATCCAATAATTTAAATGAAAATGCAATATTTGCATATCAATGAAACCAACAACCACGTGAATTTGAATGGTTTGGTTTCTTCTCGATCCAATGGTCCACCTTAGCTGTTCCTATTAAAAAATCATTTCCCTCCTCTGTCTAAATAGAGAAGGTGAGAATCCATACTCATAAAATGTAAATTGAGTGGGTTTTTTCATGACTGTTTAAAGAAATATCCTATCAGATCAGATTCTCATTTCGTTTCTCAAAAATCTTTTGACAGAGAAAAAAAATGGTGAGCTTGGGTTAGATGCTGAGAAACCCAGATGATATTTACCTTCTTTTGAAGCTGAAAATGGCACTAAGACATGCAAAGAAGCAAATCCCACCCGAGCCTCACTGGACCTTGCTCCAAAAGGTTTCTACTAACTTCGTGTTTGTTATTCAGCAGCTTGGCCCCGAGCTCCGTGATGCTGTGAGTCTCATTTTTAACGTCTTTCCTTAGATTATTTTCTGTTTATGGTTTTACATCTCTAGTTGGCTATAGAAACATGTTTTTTTTTTCCTAAATATTTTTTTAGCCAAATGCATGCCATTTTTCTGTTTTCCATAATATATTTTATTAATTTCAGTGCTGCGCGGAAATTAAAAACAAGTAATGTGACGAACAAGAAAAACAATATATATATATATATATATATCAAAGGTCGAGAGTTATGCGGATTGTCATTCCCTAGTAATATAGGAAGTTCCATGGAACCAAGATGATCCAAGGACTACTATTTGTTGCTAGCTAAGCTAGCTCACACATATTACGAATACTATACTGTATACATATAACTGAATACTATAATAAAAACTATTCTTAAAATAATAAAATCTCAATTATATATAAGTTAAGTTTTTGAGCGGAGTTGATGGAAGTTTTATCTGATTCAGGGAATATTTATTCGTCCCAACTTATTTGTATATAAAAAATAAAAATAAAAACTCTCGAGTCTCGACCTGACTGGCGACTCTTTTTTGGAGCTTCAATCGCATAAATCTAAAGTTGTTACTTTTAATTTTAAATAAATGAACTATTAATATTAATAATATATAACATACTTATTTTTCATTATACATCAAATATCAATACCTTGAAAATACATTAAAGATTAAAAAAAAAAAAAAATCGAGAAGACTTGCGCAGATCCCCGATCGGCACCAAATCCTGCATGGTTAGATAAATCCACTCGTATCTCCTTGTCCTGTCTTACAGCTTACTAGTAGAGCCATTTACCAGGCTGGGCCTTGTTTATATTTTCTTAAGGTGGCAAAGCTAAGTAATTAAGACCTCGCTCATAGCCATATATGTGGGCCAAGGTAATAGATAAAACTTATTTCTACAAATTTATTTCCTTTGAGATTAATTCTAACGCTGTGCTTGCTTAAATTAAAGTAATAATACTGTATAATGGATTTTAAAAGATAATTTATGTTGCATTGTTAATTTCTGAAGTTCTGATTCTTTCTTTTCTGTTTTGCAGATATGTGTATACTATTTGCTCCTACGAGCCATCGACACTGTTGGTTAGTCCCTTTAATTGGGATCACTTGAACCACTCTGACAATGCCATTCTGTTAGTCTTGACAGGGATAGTGTCCTGATTGATCCATCTTTTGTTATTTGATTTGTTCTGATGGTTTTCTTTATAGAGGATGATACAAGTTTACCTGCAGAAGTCAGAGTGCCTATCCTGACAGAATTTCACCATCACATATGTGATCCTGACTGGCATATTTCTTGTGAGTAAATCTTGAAAATTTTTTTTCTTTGTTTCATCCTGTTATAAAATATCATTACCACTAGAATTTTGAATACTACTAGATTGGTAATCATGTAGTCTTTAATGTTGATTGAATCTTCATGCTTGGATGCTTCTTTTCTATAAGGTGGCACTAAGGACAGGAAAGTTCTCTTGGAAGAGTTTCACGTTGTTTCAACTGCTTTTCTGGGGCTTAGAAAAAGGTTTCTTCTGGTTCTGTTTGCTTCTTAATTAGTTTAGTGGCTCAATCATTCGCTATGGGGTATTTCTTTATTGTTTACTCAAATTAAGACAATTTATTTGTTCAAGCCCGGCCTTAGGCCTAGTAAATATGTTGAACCGGGATCTGTGTAAAATGCTTAAATGTTTTTAAAAAATCGCTGCTTCTAGTTAGATTTTGACTTAAACGTTGTGTTTTTTCCACAGATGACTTACCAAACTTTATTTACTGTGCAGCTACCAGGAGATAATTCAGGACATTATCAGAAGAGTGGGTGCAGGAATGGCTAAGTTTATATCCAAGGAGGTTAGTGATGCAGGATGTTATTACGCAGTAGTAAAGACTAAAGACTGTATTGATACCTAGGTTAAACATAGATATAGGGTTTCCGGGGAGTTACTGCTGAATTTCATTACCTTTGTGTAGCAATGGCGAAAATCTCTTCTTTTTTCTTTTTTTTATGCCGCTGAGTTTTCCATTTTCAGGTGGAAACAATTGATGACTATGATGAATATTCCCATTATGCAGCTGGACTTGTTGGAATAGGACTCTCTAAGCTTTTCCATGCTTCTGGATTGGAAGATACGGCACCTGATAGCCTGTCCAATTCAATGGGTTTATTTCTTGAGGTATTAAAGCTAACAACGTAAATTCACATCCAGTCTTAATTTGTTTCAAAATTTCTATATAACACCATAAATTCTGTTCTTTGTAAAACACAGAAAACAGATATCATCGGAGATTACCTGGAGGATATAAATGAGTTACCTAAGCCACGTATGTTTTGGCCACGCCAGTTCTGGAGTAAATATGTTGACAAAATTGAGGTCTGTTTCTTTTCCGTTTATTGTCTGAATTCTGCTATTATCATGGTTAAGGAAAAAATATATATATATAGCAGCAGTTCTGGTACTCTAAACCTTCTTTTGTCAATTTGTTGTGCTCTCCTCTGCAAATGTAATAGCCTTTTTACACATTATCTGATTAGCCTTTTCCACCTTTTCCCTATTCTGCTCCTCAGGACTTGAAATATGAAGAAAACTCGGAAAAAGCAGTGCAATGCTTGAATGATATGATTACCAACGCTTTGACACATGTGGATTCATGCTTGAAATATATGTCTGCCTTGCGGGATCCGGTTGTATTTCGATTTTGTGCAATCCCTTAGGTCGAGATATACTCAAACTGGTTGTTGCACATGCTATCTCATGTTCAGTAATTTGAGTGCTTATGATTTAACTTGTTTATTGAAGTAGAAGTAAGAAGATTGTGGAAAGTATTATGCTTGTGATTATTTAACCTGAAATTTTCACTACACTGTTTAATTGGTTGATGTTTATGCCAAAGCTTGCATCTCATTTTACATTTCCATCACCAGATAAAGGCAATTGGAACCCTAGCATTGTGCTACAACAATATCAATGTTTTCAGAGGTGTAGTGAAGATGAGGCGTGGTAAGATTAATCTGTGGACGACATTTTGCTTTTTTGGCAAACGAAACTGAAAGGTGTGTTGTGAATATAAAGAGAAAATTGTTGTGGCCGATGCAGGTTTCTATTGGACATTGGAAAGCTTAATATTCCTTGTCACTCTCTCATAACATTGCATTAAAATTTAAATTTCCATATGAAGTTTTTAGTAGGAAATACATTGCACTTTTATTTCGAAACGGCCAGTTAGCAAATACCATTTCTGTCTATGTGACTTCGAGTATGAGAATTCCTCAGGCTTATCTAAATCAAGCCCTAATTGTATCTCAATTCATTTAGAGCATTTATGCCGTATCCACCAGTACAGCAACTTCATTCTACGGAGGATTGATTATGAATTGCATCAAAGCAATGAGATGTTAACATTTCGAATTTAATAATGTTTGATTCTTTTTAACATATTTCCAGGTCTTTATGCTAAAATTTATGATGAAACCAAAACAATGGCTGACGTCTATGGTGCTTTCTTCGACTTTTGTTCTGTCCTGAAGTCCAAGGTATGATGATTTCTTTAATTCTAAACAAGATATGTTTGCCTAGCAAGTTTCTGTGGGGAGTTGAGTCCTATCCAACTTCTAGTGTTAGTTACAAGATAAAACTCCAGTTCTTTTGCCAGCCTTTGGACTTTTTGATGTCCTTAAGCCTTAGATTTTACTGCACAATTTGTTCCAATTAGACTCTAAGGCAATAATTTCACAGCATAAAGCAATGTTTTCTACTACATTTGAAGCATGTACAATCTTTCATAATGAGAATTAGGAAATGGATCTGCAAGAATCTGATTCGAACTTCAGACAATGGTGAAGCTGCTCGGTGCTCGACGGAGTTTCTCCATCTTTCTGCTTCTAGCTACATTTATAGATGATGTTTGTGAATGAATGAAAATAAAACAACGGGTTCCACAGGTTGTCAAGAGTGATCCTAATGCAACAAAAACATTGATCAGATTGGAAGAGATACAAAATACTTGCAGGGAATCTGGGGTTCTAAGCAAAAGGTTTGTCAATATACTTTTGGAACGTTGGATGTGGTTTTCCTTTTATTTGTTTGGCCGATAAACTTTTCTCGTTTCCACCAGGAAATTTTACATTCTAAAGAATGGGCCAAAACATAATTCTGCTTGGGTGAGTTCCTGTTGCAGCTTTGTTGTTCAAAGCAATTTATTTATTCAATTGCTATGCTCCTGCACCTAAGTGGGATCATATACTACGTTTTTTCAGTCTTAATTGATGCATCTAAATTTGGATGATGTGGCTTAAGAATCGGCTCTTTTATATTCTCAATGCAGATTTTCCTACTACTCATTGCATTGTCCGTCATTTTTGCTCGTCTCCCAGCTGACCAACCAAGTACCAAGGGTAATTCTTGCCATGAAATAGCTATTGATTGGAGCTCATTACTGAGAAAACGTTTTTTTACTAAGAACCGTGTTTCATTTGTGCAGGATGGTTGATTTCTTCAACCTCTTCTATTTATGGATATGATGGCTGGAAGGCAAAAATTGAGTGCCTTGTTCCATGGAACGTGCTGTTTTGTGAAAGCAATAAAAAAACCCCAATCAGTTAATTTCCACGGGCCACTGTGGATCATTAGCATGTAAATAAGGCCTTCTTTGGTTGTTCTAGAGTTGATTATGGGATGGAGCAATAGCAATAATACAAAGTGGAAATCATGTAAATTTGAATAAGACCCCTTGGCTCTATCCCTTTGAGCAAATTAATTTAATTTAATTTTATTCTCTTATTTATTTCTTTTGTAGAGCTTATAATGCCTTGGCAATCAATTAGAGCTTTGACCTGTTAACTTAACTGAATCGAAAGCCAGATCTCCTTCAAAGAGTTGTGATTTTTGAGTTCGTGGATTTTTAGGCTTTTCATTTGTAATGTAAACTACTTTCTCTATAAGCTGTAGCTGGAACCGGTCCATGTTGTCGTCCCGACTTTAAAGCAGGACTTACAAAAGCACACAAATATTGCTAAATTTTTGTAATGATATGCCCAACCATCCAAGAATAAGATATAGGATTTATACTTGAAATTCAAACCTTAGAACGTGCAATAGGAGTATAGGACTCGAGAATGAAAGAAAAAGAGAAAATCACTTCCAATAACTATAAAATTCTAAGAAAGAGGGAAAAACGCACTACTTAGACCAATCAAGGTGAGTGCGTATGAAAGTAAAAGGTAAGCATGCATGAAATATATACTTGGTAAGAGGAGGATTCCTGTTAAAATCCTGAAAAGGGTGTGCTTGGGATTTGAGTATTTGAAAATTTGAAAATCCTGTTGTGCCCTAGCTTCATACTTTTAGAGTGCCAACGCCGTTAACAAAAAAATGAAAAAACAAAAAACCGTGAAAACATGAAGTAAATTGTAAATTAGTTTCTCTAGTTTTTCAAAAGAAATTAAATGTTTCTTTTAGTTTTAATAATTTATAATTAGTCCTTGTGATTTTAAATCTATTTATAATTTAATCTATTTTATTCTTTTTCAATTTTTTAAGAAATAGATAAAATAAAAATAATTAAAAATATGAAGAGATTGATGACAAAAAATACATTTTTAGAATAAAATAATATTAAATTAATCATAATCATCACTGGCCAAAGGACTGATAAATTAGTTTTTAAAATAAAAGAAAGTACTTAATCTGTTTTGCAAACCTAGAGGGACTAATTTATAATTTGCTCTGAAAACTTGCGACGGACGACTGGATGAGAAAAGTTGAGAGTTGCCATAAATAGCGGATTTAAGGTTTTATACCGAAATGAATTGTTCTGATTTCTGCAGTGTAAGTGTAACAATGTTGTGTCGACAATATGTTTGCCGTTTGTTTGAGCATATTAAGAGGGCGTGGCAGTAACAGCCAGGAACACCAATCATTGACACCCACGTGTCATCACATATAATACAATGCATAATTCGCGAGGGAAAGTAACGGATTCGGAACGTGATTTTCCATGGTTAGGATGGCTTTGTTGCTAAATCCAACGGTCAAAATTATTAAAGAGCTGTCTTGACTTCAATTAGCTTCGGGGCCCACCACATCGATCCCCTTTTTTTTTAATATAAGAAAAAACCATTTTCTTCCTCCATTATAAAGAGTAAATTATACATTAGTCCTTCTCATTTTAAAAACTAATTAGTTAATAGTTAATATTTAATATTTTAATTTATAGATAATTTAGTTATTTTATTAATTTTTTTATAATATGTTCTATTTTTTAAAATTATCTTTCTTTTAATATTTTATTTCTCTCATTCACCCATTCATTTTCTCTCTCTTTAATTTTCTCCATCACTGTAGTAGAGCTCAACCCCATCATTATTTTTTTAAAAAAAGCTGTCTTTCCAAAATCAATTTTCCTCTCAACAAACACAATATACGCCCATCAAGTTTTTCAAAAAAAAAACAAAATAAAAAATTATGGACTTTTTGGTCCTCATGGAGTGAAAGTTGAAATAATTGAAAAAATAATAATAAGAGACTTTCACCTTGTATTAAAAAAAGAAAGAAAAAGAAAGGGGAGTTGGAGTTAAGTGGGAAAAAAGGGAACGCTAATGAAATTTTATCAAGAAAGAGCACGAAAAGATGAAGAAGAAAAGAAGCTACAATGGTTATCTCTGTCGCAAGAATTAAGTATATATCTTAAAAGGGTATTTTGAAGACTTCGGTCAAAACTTAATAACGAAAAACTAATTATTTTGATTGAATGCTCATATATTTTTTTTATTAATTAAATTTTTTTTAATAAGACTTTATGTATAATATGTATTTTGTATTTAAAAATATAATATATCACGTCAGCTCATAAACTAATAAGATTATAGTAAAAAAAAAGTAAAAACAAAAAATCCAATTAATATAAAAAAAATATATAAAATTTTGAATTAAAACAATTTAAAGAATACATGCACCATATAATCAACAAAACCCTTTATGATTTATGGACCAAGATGATCACCAATTTTTGGAGTTTGGCCATTGAAAATTTTCAAAATCATCTGGTTTATATACCGAGTTAGAGTTTGTGGCTCCAGTATTTTTTATGATCTGAAAAACTAAGTGTAATTTTAAGTTTGTAACTTTTATTTATTGAAATAAAAAAAAACAAAAGTCACAAGGTTTTAAAAATTATTACGTGAAACTATTTTGTATCCAAACAAATTGTTCTATTTGATTTTTCATACAGTTTTAAAAACTATTAATTATTACGTCATATCAATGTTTTTTATTCATAATTTTTTAAATACTCTTTTTATTAAAATTATTAGTTATCAAATTTAACCTTACATTATATTGAACGAATATTAATTTGAGAAATCTCTCCAAAATAAAGGTAGTAAATTAAAAGAAATTATTAAGTTGATTAACCATCATGAAAAATAACATATTAATAAAAATATTTTAGTCCTAAAATTTCAGCATGTAGTAAAGTCTCACAAAAATGAATATTTTTTACGTTTTGAAATTTTTATGTTAAAAGTAGTTGTATGTATAAGGAAAAAAAACATAAAGAAACATTGATTTTGTTATTGAAGAAGTGGAAATATATAGAAGAAATAATTGATTTATTAATTAAAAGTATTTTTTAAAAAAAATGTATTATTTAAAAGTATGACCACACAAACATTTTGAAAAAAATATAAATAAAAAGGTAGAACAATTTATATGACACATTCAGTAACTAGAAATATTATTGGGGTCCATTACATCAACCAACAATGTAATAATTTTCCACTTGATGCAGAAGCAAGTAGAAGAAGATCGCTTGAACCACTTAATTTGTCTGTATTTCAAATTTTTACACGCTATTGCTGCAAACTTTTATTATCTAATTAATTTGTTTTGATGGTTTCTTTACAGAGCTGGATGATACAAGCTTACCTGTAGAAATCGAAGTCCCTATCCTGTCAGAATTTCACCGTCACATATATGATCCTCACTGGCATCTTTTATGCGAGTCTTGAAATTATCATTATCCTCACCATTTTTAATTTAATCTCACGCTACATAAGTCTTGGCATTCTTTTAACATGTAAGATAATTTAACTGAACGAGTTATATTGTGCTTGTGTGGCCTTTAATAATATTGATAAAATAAATCTTGATGCTTAATTAGTACTCTAGTTTGATTCTTCTTCTGTGTAAGGTGGTACTGAGGACGGTACAGTTCTCATGGATCAGTTTCATGTTGTTTCAACTGAAAAAAGGTTGCTTCAGCTAGCTTCATGTTTGCCTCCAGCAGGATGATATATTGTCTTTTAAAAATATTGTAGGAGAAATTATTTGTTCCAGCACTCAGGCCATGAAAAAATATGATTGCTTAACATTGTAACGACTCACTGCGTCTAAATATGCAAATAAAAAGAAATCTGTATTTCTTCAGGTATTACTATGATGCATGACGCAAACCGAAGTAGTCTTGGTTTTCTTCTGAAATTTAATTCTGACAGCATATACTCTGGATTGTGTAAACACAGAAAGCAGATATAATTTTAGATTATCTGGAGGGTATGAATGAAATACCTAAGCCGCGAATGCTTTGGCCTCGCCGGATCTGAAGTAAATATGTCGGTAAAATTGAGGCGTGTTTCTTTTCCATTTATTGTCTCAAATTTTATTTTTCTTACAAAAAAAAAAAAGAAGAAGAAATAATCATTCTAGTATTCTCAACCTTCTTTAGTGATTATTTTGTTGTGATGATGTAAATCCAAGATCCACTGGAAATGCGATTCACCTTGTTTGATTAGCCTTCTCCACCTTTTTTCTGTTCTGCTTCTCAGGACTTAGAAATAGGAAGAGAACTCAGACAAAGCAGTGCAATGCTTGAATGACATTGATACCAATGCTTTGACACGTGGATGATTGCTTGAAATATATCTCTACATTGCGGGATCCGGCTGCATTTCGATTATATGCTGTCCTTCGAGTAGAAAATATACTCAACTGATTGTTAAAGATGTTGTCTCATGTCTTGCAATTTCAATGGTTATAACCTGGCGTGTTTTATTGAGGTAGAAGCAAGAAGATTCTATGGAAAGTTTCATGCTTTTGATTTATTTAACCTGAGTTTTTCGCTATATTCTTTTATTATTTTGAAATTCAAAAAAAAGTGCTGGCCTTATTGACTCCCCAGATGAATATCGTCATGCTTTTTCACATGATAAAAAAAAAACTCCTATACCTATGTTTTTCTGATGTATTAAATAGTATAGAGAAATCTGTCCTCGTATGATATTCCAGGTTCTAATGTGTAGTTTTACATTCTACGATATCGATTTCTCTAATGATTCGGATGCATGTTTAAGGGGAAGCTTGCATCTCATATGATATTTTTATCATCAGATAATGGCAACGGGAAAACTTGCATTCTGCTAAAACAATATCGATGTCTTCAGAGGTGTGTTCAAATGAGGCTCAGTAAGATTGGTCTGTGGACTGCATTATTATGGTCTCTTTCAAGGGGCATTCGAGAGCTTAACTTCGTTATTGTTGTTATCATAGCATTGCATTAGCATTGAAAATTCCATGTAAACTTCATGATGGCCCAGAACTTTTATTCCCAAACAGACCACACTATAAACAACATTTGAGACTCTCTGAAAAAATGATAATTCCTCAAGCCACTATTTATAAGTCTGATCTCA